AGAGGGACAGGCAGGGGCACTGCAAACCACAGACGCGTGAGGCCGAAATGTACCCCCTCACCTTTGGTATCCAGCTCCACGTGGATGATGTTGCCCATGACGGAGGTGTTGTGAAGGTGCTGGACAGCCTCCCGGGCACCTTTGACAGTGGCAAAGATCACTTTGGCAATGCCCAGGTGCTTCTTGTTCTTGGGGTTGTAGAGAATCTCCACCTCTTCCACTTCACCATATTTCTTGCACATGTCGGTCAAAAAGTTTTCACGGATGTTGTCGTTCAGCTTGGCAAAGGTGACCTGCTTGGGAGGCACTGGCCCCACATAAAATTCATCGATCTGGAAACAGTCACAAGGTGGGGGGCAATAAAAATAATCACCATCGTTAACGAGAATGGGGGAGGGCATAAGGATGGCACGGAAGGGAGAGGGTTAAAGCATCCTGCAAACTTTGGGGAAAGAAAACTGCCTCCAAGGCTCTGGGATGAACCCTGGAGCAGAGCAGAGCCTCTGCCGCTGCAGCCATTCATTGAAACCGGCTCTGTTCTGGGCTACAAATATGAATTTTGATCAGTACTGTCAGCAGAGAGCCCCCCTCTGCCGCCCCCCACCCGAGAAGCCCCCAAGACACAGCTCCAAAACCTTCAAGTGATCTCATTAGACAGATGCATTGATTTCTCATTATCTTTATAGGAAAGGATTAATGTTAAACAGTTTGCCAAATAATAATGTTAATAGGACTATGACTGTCATTTAACCGGTCCATTAAACTATTTGGAACTGAAGCTTCACTCCCGGATAAACAAGAACACAGAGCTAAACCCAAAAGTCGGGGCAGTACCTTGAATTTAGGGACAGACAGCTCCAACTCCTTAGTTTTGGTCCATATTCGCCCTATTCTGGGATCCCTGACACAATCCACAGGAGCAATTCCCGAGTTCTGGGAGGAGGAGGAGAAGGAGGAGGAGGAGAAGGAGAGAAAGCACAAAAACAGCAGTAACAGAGCTTGAAATTTAAGACACAAATAAAAGAAAAAATAAACCCCAAGGAAGCACGGGCTGTCTCAAGGGAAGGGGAAGGCGCACACACACACACACACACACACACACACGTGTCAAATTGCAATACTGCTGGGAAATGCACACAGATTGGAAACACAGAAATAAAGCCGCAGGTTTGGGCTGTTTGGGCTCCTGACAGTTGAATACACAGTGTCAGGTGGCAATAACTTTGCTGGCTGTGTGTGTCCCCCCCAGACCCCCCTCCCACACACATGCGCTACGGCGCTGATTACCACGACCCGGAGGGACCCCAGCCCCCAAAACGCCGGTAAAACGGAGGCGGGGGGGGGGGGGGGGGGAAGAAGGGGGGGGAGCACAACACAATGGGGGAAACCCACGACCCCCCTCACTCACAGGCATGCTGAAATGTTGCCCATCGTAACGGTAGAGTTTGTGCTGTCCTTTTTTCAGAGCTGGGTCAATAATCAACTTGTAACTTCTCCAATGGTGATTTCTTTTCTCGACAGAAGTGCTGGCTTGCGTGCTGTTCTCCATTCCGTTGATCCAACCTGGACGGGGAGGGGGGGAAGGGGGGGTAGGAAGGGGGAAGGGGAAAAGAAAAAAAACCACACACACACACACACACACACGGAAAACCATAAAGTTAAAAAAATATTCAACAAAGACCTCTTCGGGTTTTTTGTTTTTTTTTTTTTTTTTTTTTAAACGAGCCGTCCGCTCTACACACCCAGGCAGGGAGGAAATCCACCGCGAAGAGAGCCCTAAAATGGGGGAATTGCCAGCCGGGTCCCCCTTCCACCCCAGCCAGACAAGAGGCAAAGAGGGAGGAGGAGGAGAGGAGGAGGAGGGGAGAAAAAAAAAAAAAAAAAAAAAAAGACCCAATCTCACTTGAACTCTGCTTTTTGCCATGATCTTCAGGGTGCTTGGCTTTTTCCCCCGCCTTGATCTCTCGGAAAGACATCGCGCTCGGCGGACGATCGTCTCCGGGCGGCGAAAGGCGAGCTCCCGTCTCACATGGGGCCGGTTACCGGCGCGGGCTGGCCGCCAGGCTCCTGCCTCCCGTTTTCGCGAGCCACCACATATTGTGTGTGCTCGCTGCTGGCGGCGGCGGCCTCCCACAATACACCGCTGCGAGCGCCGCGAACGCCTAACCGCCCTCCGCCGCCTGCACATTCACGGCGGCCGCGCCGCGCAGCCCCCGGCCCGCGGCCGCCCCGCCGCCACCCCGCCGCCGCCGAGCGCCGCCGCATGGGCCGCCGCCGGGCTGCTTCGTTTTTTTTTTTTTTCTCCCCGCCCTAGGGTTAACGGCGGGCGGGGGGGCGAGTGGAATCTGCCCGCTGCGTTTACCTTAGCGCAAAGTGCTTCTAAACAAGATGGACCTATAGGTGGGACAAGTTTGGTGATTTTTTTGTTGTTGTTATTTTTTCTTTTTTAAGGGAAGACTTCAGCGAGCGCGGACCGGAGCGCGGAGCCCGCCGCCCTGCTGCGGCGGCGGGGCGGGGGGAGCGACTACACAACCGGAGCGCGGCGGCGACGGCGGCGGGAGGGAGGAGGTGGTGGGGGGGAGCAGTTTTGCTTATTAAAGGTCCGGGCCCATCGGCAGCCAATCAGCGGGGAGCTTCCATTTTGTTTTAGGTATTAAAGGCCGGGCGGCGCGGTCCCCCCGCCGCTCGGCGGGGCGCGGAGCCGGGCGGAGCGCGGCGGGCGCATGGCGCGGCGGTTCCGCGGGCCGCGGGGCAGCGGCGGCTCGGCCGCGGTCGGGCAATTGGCTGGTTAAAGGCAGCGGGGCGGCCGCAGCCAATGGGCGAGCAGCTTCCATGGGGCTTGAGTTATTAGACGGCGGGGTAAAAACATCCTTCAGCAGACAGCTAAGGAGAGGCCAACAGATCAGGCAGCCATTTTTCTGCAATGGAGCGAAATGGCCAACTGGGCTTTTCCTTTGTTCCAAAAGAGGGATCCGCCATGTGAATCCACACCGTCCACTTGCGGGGAGCGCTCGGGGTGGTGTGAATGTCTGGTGCCATGCTAGAGGACTCACTGAAGAAGGAAGATTTAAAACAAAAACAAAAACAAAACACAAAAGCAAACCAAAACTTAAAAAAAAAAAATGCGGATTTTTTTTTTTTTCCCTTATGATTCGGGATCCATCTTTGTCTTGTGTAACTAGGTCACGGCACACCCTATGTCAGCAGTTAACAATTTCGAATGCCAAAAAAGTAAATACATTATTTTTAATTTTTTTTGGTTTTGTTTTTGTTTTTTTTAAGCTTTGCACAGCTCTCTGAACAATAAATTTTAGTGAGTATTTCCTGTACTAAACACTCGATTCCTGGCCATTTTTATTAACTCCTTTGGTGCTTACAAGGTAACGTTTTAAATATAGGCATAGGAATAATGAATTCTGGCAAAAAAGAGGCAGTTTTATTGTGATAAGCTCTTTCTTTCCTCTTACGTTGTAAGTACCCAATCCATTCTGTCCTTGCTAAGTATAGTTTTAATGTTAATGTTTCTGAAGTCCTTATTGCTAAGCCTTCATTTGCATGTCTTATGTTTTTGTCTGTTTATCTAAACCAATTTATGCTTTTTGAAATATTTTACATAGAAAGCAAAATATCTAGCGAAGAGATGCTTAAAAGTTGTTTACAACCAGTAAATGTTAACCAGGTGTTTTCACACTAACATGTAGCCTAAAACGATTTAGGAGAATATTTTTAGTGTCTGCGTGCTCTGTGGAAAAACACTGAACGTCCTTTTTATGTACAGAGTAAATCTGCCACAGGAAGGTAGATTTAAGCCTCGAGTAGGAGTCCTCACTGCGTACGGTCAGTCGACATAGCTGGACAACTTTTTCTATAGCCTTTGTTTATACTTTTTTTTGATGCTAGACCACTGCCATACAAAGATTCCTAACTATCTTAACAAAATCCACTTTGACTTGCAAACTTACGAGAGAAGTGGTGATACAGATCATATATATTTATAGCCATTATTTTAAAAAAGCGTAACAACGTCACCTTCAGAGCTGCATTCAACTATGATGTGCGGGTAAGTAAACCCTTTTGCCCTTGCAGAGAAACATTTAGACCAGGCCTGTGCGGCTAATATTATTGTCCTGGGCGGAAAGATCCTAATGGTCGTCTGTATGAGCCGTGGCGATCTCCTTCTCCTCAGATACAGCTAACGGCATCTCTGAAACGTCTATTTTCAGGGAGGGATTTCTCTTTCTGCATAAAGTGCTTGGTCGTCCGAAGCCCTGTGGTTTGTTGTTTTGTTTTTGTTTGTTTTTGTTGTTTTTTTTTGCAGAGAGACGCCGTGAATCCATTGCAGGCATTATGTGGCTGTTGAAAGCACACAAAAATAAAATCTGCCTGCGAACAGTTGTTACTGAGGTTGATTTTTAAAAAGGCGAAAAGGCGGTAGTGGTGGTAGGGATGTCTTACATATTTTATCCGTCTAATTACAGAAGCTCGACCAAAAAAAAAGCAACAAAATGGGGGGGGGTGTGGTGGTGTGGTGTTTTTCAAGACGGTGCGTCTTAATGGCGGATGTCTCACTAAAAAGCACTGTAAAATCCTTCATACCGAGGCAGTGACTTGGAGAGAGGGGGGGAGAAAGGAGGTCTGGAAGTAAATCCAAAATGAGGGAGTTTCCTTCCAAGTGAGGGACCCTTGCAGCCTGAGTTTTACAGTTGGAGAGCCGTGACGCAGTTGATATTCACAGCAGTTGTGCTTTAGTGCAGCCACCCAGCCCATGAAATGGCCTTCCCGCCGAAGTCTGGTGGTTTTATTATGTGAAAGCCTGTGGAAACACCGTGTCCCGGGCGCCGGGAAGGGGCAGCTGGCGGCGGGCAGGGCGCTCCCGGTCGCGCTCCATGTTGTGTGAAGGTAGCCGCCATCATGGCTTCTCCTTCGGCGCCGCGTTCTCCTCAGGGCTGGGGCGGCGGCGAGGCGGGCTCTCCCCCACTGCCTGGCGGCGCTCCGCGTCCCGATCACTGGAGGGAAATGGACTTTTTTTTTTTTTTTTTTTGTCTTTCCCCCTCCCCCCCTTCTTTCTTCCCTTTCCCGCCCCCTTCCCCCATCGCTTTGTGAGGGGTTGTGGAAGGCGAAGCCGAGGAGGGAGCAGGGCGCCTGACGGCTTTTTTCTCCCCGCGGCTGCCGCGCACAACATGGCCGCGCCGGGGAGCGCCCTGCAGCAGCGGGAGGCAGCGCTGCGGGCGGCGGGGCTGGCGGCGCTCCAGCACGGCTGGGGAGGACGGGGGGGCCGGCCGGGCGGGGAGGACAAAGGCAGCTCGCATAATGCGGGCGAAGCCCTGTGTGCCTATAAATAACGCCACCCGCCCCTCGCCTTCCTCCCTTCCCCCCGCCGCAGCCTGCTGCTCGGTTGCTTTTATAAATACCAAAAGATGAAAGTAGCCTAATGCAGTGAGGGGGGAAAAAAAATAAGAGGAACAAACAACAGCTTCCCCCCCACTCCCCTCAAAAAAAAAAAAAAAAAAAAAAAGCGCCCATTGCGGGGGATGGAGCGGGGGGAAGCCAGGCAAATGAGCAGGCAGAGCTGGCCGCGGGAGGAGCAGGGCGGCGTCGTCAGCCTCCCCGCCTGGAGCGGGCTGCGCTGCGCCCCGCCACCGCGGCGGGGGGAGCGCGGCCGCCGCTCCCCGCCGCTCATCACATGGCTCTTTGTTGTTTTCCTTCTCCTGCCCCTCCTGGGCTTTGCCCCCCTCCGCCATCGCCCGGCCGCTCCGCCGCTGCCCTGCCTCCTCCCGCCCGCAGTCGGGGTGGGATGGCCCGGCCCGACCGGCCTGCAGCGCCGAGCTACCCGGGCCCTTAGCCGGGGCTGGGCTGGCGCGGAGCCGGCTGCAGTGCGAGCCGCCATGCCCGTCTGAGGTGTTACACGTGCCTTTTTTTTTTTAATTCTTTTTTTTTTTTTTTCTCTGTTTTGGTGGTTTGTTTTTTGGTTTTGGTTTTTTTTTTTTTTTTTTTTTTTCCCGAGCAGATTTTCCTGCAGCTCGCTTTGGGTGGAGGCGTGGGGGTTATTTCGGAGGTTCACTGTGCTCTGCGGGGAGTTGCATCTCGTGCTCCCACTGCAGACCCAAATTAGGTGAGCTAGGAAAGCCTGGCTTGAGCAACCACTTCAGAGGGGCAGGATCAGGGGAGGAAAATCAAACACTTTGTAGAGAGGTGGCCTCACTGGTCAGGCTAGAGCAGGACCGTCCTGCGGACCCTGTGGGAGGGAGAAGGTAAGTGGCTGCTTGGCAGAGGCTGCCTGCGGGAGCGGCATGTGCCGGGCAGGGTGCGCCCTGCCCGCCATTTCCTGCGGCTCAGGACCAGCCGTGGGTTTGTCAAACCTGTGCTGTGGTATGTGCCGAGGCTCAGGGGTGTTTTCCATCGAGGGAGCAGGGTGCTGCCGCGAAGGAGGCACCGCAGCCTGCGCCTTTCGCAACGGGCAGGATCAATCTCTCCATTCCTTGTTTCTACTCTCCCCACCCCGCCCTTCTTCGGTCCTCACCGGGTCAGGCTCTGTCGAGAACAAGCGACCAACCGTCCGCACAAAACATAACACGTTCCCATGGAGGGGGGAAGAAAGGAAAAAACAAAGTCTTCGCACTGCCAGGCTGGGTTTAAAAGACTCTCTCGGGGCTGAGCCATGGCGGCCGCCGGCCCCTCGGTCCCTGTGAGACGCGCCGTGTCCGGCCAGAGCGCCTGGAAAACGCCTGGCCCTCGCTTGTGCCAGCACTGCGACTGCCTTCCTGCTTTACAATTGCTTTAAATAATAATCTGCTAGTAAACTTGGGAAGAAACGGTGACGTTATTCTTAGCTAAACGCCATTAAAATGCTCCTCTGCTGTTTCTCAATAGAGGTGAAAAGCATTTTAGCTTCCTGGAAATGGCCGAAACAGGCGACGTGTTGATCAAAGTACGGTGTAGATCTGTTGCTTGTTTTGCAGGGGGTTTTTGAACTGTAATGAAAACGTTTCTGCAGCTTGCATCATAATGAGTTAAGTCAGCACGTGAGGTGATTTTTAAAAAGAGCAGATTTAAACAGCATCGGCTATTAGCTTCCCTGGGATTTAAAGTTTATGTTTAAAGAGGTATATGGATATTAGTAATACCTGCATTTAAATTTTAACGTTGGTCTGTTTAACCCTGAAGCAAACTAGCTCTGCCTAACACAGGCTTTGAAACGATTCAGCCAGACCATAATACTGTGGGAGCTTAGACAGCTTTGTCTCTACTTGCACCTCTCTGCGCATTTTTCCAGGACTGTGATCTTTGTCTGCAATTAATCATTGTTCAGGATGGCTGTTCCCGATGGTAGAATCCATGAACTCCAGCTGGGAGAGGTCCTAAAGCGGGTGCCTGGCACTGCGTACGTGCGAACCAGAGCCAGAATTTGCTGGGGCAGCAGGCGTTGTATGGCGAGCCCGCCGCGCAGACCCAGTGAATTGTGTGGGTCCTCAGTACTTCTGGAAATTGTTTTTGTAAGTCTGAGCTGAAAAATTCTTTCAGTTTTTAAGAGTTTCTAAATGACTATAATGTTCAGTGTAGTTTAAAAGTCACCAAGGCAGTTGAGACTGGTTGCACTCTCAGAGTGGGTGGTTTCATGGCTGAAGCTCGTATCTGAAAAGCTAAATGTTCTGGTACAGCATGTTTAAATCCCAGAAAGGTCAAACCAGACTTTCATACTTGAGTTAGATTGACTCTGGTTTATTGCATGAGACTCCTTAGAGAAAGAAAGAGATCTTTCAGGGGAAGAAGGGTGGGGGGGAAGATTTTTTTTCTCTGAACAGCTTGTGGTGACTCTACACACATTCTTGAAGCAGAGGGGTTTGTTCTTGCCCACAGCATCCATCCCCTGCATTGTTGAGTGGAAAACTCCTATGCTAATTATTTCACTGTCTGTTATCAATAAGAAGTGATTTAATTTCTTTGGCAAAGTGTTGCAACAAGAGCAAATTAGATTGAGAGGCAAAGTGAAATAAAAAATATGCAGCTGTTCTGCCAAACAATGATAGTGACTGTTTACAACATTTTGTTTTAGACTGCCTTGTACACAGAATCCTTTATATTGAAGGTTTTCATGTCACAATCCACTGCTTGTGCAAGGAAACTAGATTAATAGATTATAAAGGACAAAAGAGACCTGGGTTCATCTGGTTCAACTTCCTGCATTATGCAGGTTATAAGATTTTTGTGAATTTGTTGCTTTTTCTCACTTGAAAGAATTTACAATATACCTGCATCTTAGCAAAACATCAGATTTTCATTTTAAAATGGGCTGTGAGAGAGAGTAAAAAAAGAGTTAGTAAATTGTTTCCATCAAAATCTACCTGAATGACTAGAAATCAAAATACCTTTTAAACTTGTCTAGTTTCTGCTTTCAGTTTCTGGATGTTGCTGTCTCAGTCTGCTTGACGGAGGAATGCTCCATTACCAGATTTCCGTCTCCATGTAGCTATGTACAGGCTGATCAACTGAGCCTTTAACGTTTCCGTTGCAGACTTGCAGAGCTCCCCCTCGGGTCCATCTTCACTAATCCTGTAATCGTTCCTGTCACGGTTCCCTGTAAACACTCCAGTTTTTTACCATTTTGATCTGGGCAGAAGGGGTCAGTGATCAGCAGTGATCATATACCCGCACCAACAGCCCTCCTGGCTGTGATGTCTCTGTTGGGCATCCAGGGATTACACCAGCCCACGTTCAGCTGGTTGCCCAGCACGGCTACTGAAATACTCTCAGATCTGCTGCTTCTTGGGACGGCATCCCCATACTGTTGGTTTGTAGTCTTTGTTCTGAATGTATGACTTTACACTTGGCCCTCCTGAAAAGGACAAGTCCTTAAAGGACAAGTCCTGAGACAGCATTGTTGGTTGCAGTGGTCTTTTTTTTTTTTTTTTTTTTCTTTCCTTAAATACCCCTTCCTGCTACTGTTGAGTGTCACCTAGAAACTTGATGGGTAATGATGTTATATTTTCTTCTAGATAAACAACTGCTTCTGTCTCCACTGTAGGAGTTTCCCAGTTCCGGGTGTGTGTACACCTCAGCCATGTCAATATTGCATCAGGAGGAGGTCTAGATGTTCACCATCCTTTTGTCACACCCCAGTTTCATGGGAAGAAAGCCCAGTTTAGGAGCTGGAAGGGAGCCAGGAGGCACACTGCAGCATTTGCCTGCCCTCATGTCTATAAGGTAGCAGTTGAGTAATGTAGGGCCCAAAACAGGTAGTTGCAGGACTCATAAAAGACAGCTCTAGGACACAGTGGTTACAACTGCATTTTGAGACCTTCCTGTTAGATGGATACTAACCCATTTGTGTCTTCTTGCACTTAGATTCTCCTACTCATAAGCACGTAAATGCTTTGAAGGGGTTGAAGTATGGCAGGCACATCAGCCCTCTTGCAGAAATCTCCTCTTAGTGTTATTCCCATTTACCACCGAACCTTGCAGTTTCTTAAAAGAGTTTCTTTCTCAGCAGCTAAACTCTTGTAGCTTTGTTTCCTGTGGATTTCTGTCCATAAATGCCCCCTGACAAATCTTCCGGCTCTTTCCCAGTCTTGCTTGCCCTGTCTGGCAGAGCAAGGGGTGATGTGCTGGCTGGGAGCTCCACAGGGGCCAACCAGGCAGCGGTCCTGCTGCTTGGTATGGGCAAGGGCTGAGTTCTGCTTGCCTTTCTCCGAGACCAAGGTGGTGCCTCCACTAGGTACTCTACTCAACTGTTCATTCAAGACCTAAATATGTTTGGGTCTTCTTCCCCACTGCCAAATTTGAGATTGGAGGAAGGAGAGGAAAAATGACACAGAACAACACAGTCACATTAGACTGTTTTATTTTTAGGAAACCAGGAATAATGAGTAGGAATATGGACAGGGTGTTTGATGTTCAGTTTTCTTGCTATGAAATTTTTCATTTCTTCTTAAGAACAGCAGGTGATCTGTCTAGGGGATTTCTCAGCCAAAATAAGCAACCTCCTGACAGATTTCACCTGTGTCCCAGCGTGCTCTGAGGATGCACAGGATGTAATCATTGAACAATGACAGGGAATCACAAGTCTGCTGTGCTCTTTGGCTGCCTGAGTGCAAAGAGATGTATGGCGATACCCCATAGTAGAACAAACATTTATTTTGTTTAAGATCCATAAAACTTTTGATGGACATGTTGGATATTTGCCAGGGCTGGGTTTTTTGGTGTCTTTTAAAATGTATCTGTTCATTTTATTCCTGCTAGTATTATGACAAAGCCACCTCTGTAAGGTGGTGAGTGCTTTCAGAGATCTAATCATTCTTGAGCTATAAAGGAATAAAGAAGCTGTTTCAACACCTGAGTTGCAGAATGTTTTTTGTTGCTTCTTGCCTATTGAAATGCAGCTGCTATTGAAACGCTATGATCCCATCAGAATGTGCAACCGGTTATTTTTTAGAACACTTATAAGCCTATAAAAATCATGAACTAAATCAAGAAGGTTGGCAGTTCAAATCAACATTCTAAAGCCATCAGTTCAGTGCTTCATGGCCTAAACAGTACAGTTTTTCTTTTTTTAAAAAAAAGGAATGAAAAGAATGTACCATTTAAAGAATTCAGGCACTCACTGAGGAAATGAAGATACATGAAGATACAGATAAGTAATCTAGAAGGACATTTATGCATTAAAATACTTGTGTATGTGGACACCTAGCATTAAACAGTCTAGATGAGATAGTAGCTGGAGACCTGTGAGGCTTTTTAACAACTGCAGCGCCTACAGGGAACATTCTGATTGTAGGTGATGGTGTATAAAATGATGCAGCCAGAAAAGTGATGACAGAGATCAAATGGAATGAGTTTAGCTTGCAAATCAGAGCAGTTTCTTCTAACTGGTGTGATGCAAACAACATATGACACCAGACCAAGACAGTTTTGCCCTTGACATTGTCACCATGGCTCTCAGATCTGCAGTTAAGGATCCCCATCTTGATTTATTTTTTGACAGGACAGTTGGGAGTGCCCCAGCTGGTCCACTAAGCCATGGTTTTCAGCCGAGTGGGCCAGAACACACAGAATTAGTGAATGTTGTGCTTTCCATTGCCTTTCTACACTGCTGCATAACAGCAGCTCCCAGTTGCTAAGCAGCTGCAGAGCCATCTTTGCCTTCACTACCAATCAGCTGTGCTACGGGAGCAACATGGGTTCCCCTTGATCGGTGGAGAGGAGCCGGCAGCATGAAAATGGGAGCAGTGGCCATATCAGAATTGTTCCTTTTCTGGCTGGCTGATGGGCCCCCTGGCAAAAATGCTGGAGTGAAGCAAAGGGACACTTAATGGCCCAGAAGCAGGGGGTGGCGGGGAGGGGAGAGGGAGAGCCAGCATATGTGCACAGCGGAGGTTACAAAGACAGCAGATCTTAGCAGAGCAGGGGGTGCACACGGAGGAGAAAGAAATGGGAGAGAGGCCAAATGCACAGTTCGGAATAAAAAAACCCCAGGAGGAGAGTGCGGCATATGGAGAGGGGAAATAAAGCAGAACTTGCACAGCCTGCGAATAATTGAATAGAAAATACAGGAAGAGAGGGAAGGAGCTTGATTCATTACTGCCCTTCACCTTGTGGAGACAGCTACACCCGGGAAGAGGAGGTGTGGAATACAACAGCATCTTTCATGTTTCACAGTGAACTGTAGGTTTTACATTTCAACCCCTGCCATTTGTGCTTTTCTCACTGCATAGCCCCTGCCTTTTGTTTAGACTTGATTTCTGCAGGAATCTTTGCCTAGTTTCTAGTTTATTTTGGTACTTCCTTTAGCTTTGTTTGTTTGTTTGTTTGTTTTTCAAGGTAAGTTGTAAATTAAAATACCTTTTCCAGATAGTTTAATTGTTTTAACCTTCAAGAAGGCAGGCCATTGCTAATTCCTAACTGAAGTGAGTTTCCACTAAATCCACAAAGCCATTACTGCTTTTCTCCCCCACTCTCTTCTGGGAGCTGCTGATGGAGAACAGGGTTCCCTTTACTTCCTGACACCTTCCCGTGCACATTGTCTTTCCTCTTCCCCGTGCAATGCCTGCCAGCAGTCCGGAAAGACTTGCTGCTAGCAGCGTGCAGGAAGTGGTTCCTGTGGCAGTAAGTTATCACAAACGCCTGACGTGTTGCACGGCTGAGGGGGTGGGTAAAAAAGTGTCATGAACATCAGCGAGGTGGGGGGTTGTGACCAAAAGAGATTCTAGTTCCACCACCGCTCAGCTGCCCACATGAAAAAATACTTTCTGGTCACAGCGCCTAACATGCAATTGGCCATGTGATAGGAAATGCCAGCAGAGCTGGCAGGGAAGCAGGGGAGCTATACGTTATTCTCTCTGGCTCCTCCAGACAGAGGATTGAGAGGCACGTTTGTATGGGAGGGTGGGGAGAGGAATTAAAGCTCGTGCAGCTGTTGCCCTCCTCTGTGGCCAGCCCTGGCTTGCTTGGAGGCCTGTCGACCAAGAACATGTTTCCCCAGGTCCAAAATTGAGTCCTAAAAGGAAAACAGAGGTGCCTACCCGAATCTACATTGGAAAGGATTTGCGATGGGCTCCCGATGTGTGTGTATTTCAAGCCAATAAAAAACTTGACAAATACTCAGGCAGATGTGTTTTGTACTTGGAAGATTTTTTTTCTAAGATGTCCGGTTCAGTGGGATGCTATATTTGCTTCCTTCTTCCATTTGTCTGGAGTCCTGTATCTATGAGCAGGCACTGTCTATACTATTGTTAGACTCCTAAGACCATTAAAGGTCTAGGGGCACTGACATTTTACAAGTAGATTCAGCTGCCTTTAACACAGGCATTTTTAGCATTATGAGAGATGCAAGTTTAATTAGAGCAGTTTTAACCAGGAAATCTCCCCGCCTTAAGAAATCAGAGCTACTGTGTTAATCCCAGTAAGCAACTGGGAACTTGACAGCGTGCCTGTTGTTACGATGAGAGTCACGAAGGGTGAAATGTGTGTAGGAAGGGAGAAACGCACAGGAAACATGCCATCAAGGGCAGCGGTGTCGAGCTCACGCAGGGCAGCGTGCCAGTCCGCGTTTGGCGATGACCCGTGGGCTGGAGCAGCGCTGACAGGTTGCTGCTCTGTACGTGCCTGCGCACACCGGCCCACACCACCGCTGCGATTGCTCAAACACCTTCCCAACCTGCCCCGGTGGCTCGCAGCGAGGACCTCCAGCCAGGCCACTCTGCACCATCAACCCATCCAGCTCCCACAACTGCGGCACAGGCCAAAAATCACAGCTCTAAAGCAAACATGACACAATTACAACCAGGTTTACTTCCAGCGCCCCAAGTTACTCATTAACTTGATCTGAGAGCCACCGTGTCTTTGCAGAATCTGCTCTGGGCAGGTTCATGGCTACTCTCTGGTCTGAGATAAACAGTCTGGGCCTGTCCTTTGTCTAGCAATGCTCTGTCGAGGCACAAACCTCTCTGGCTCCTGCCAAACCTTTATCCCTGTGTATGAGCTTCTTCCCAGCCAGACAACAACAGAGCAAGTGCTTCCCACTAAGCTCTCCCCATACAGCCAGCACTCAACAAAAAAACATGGAGAAATTACAGTGTCTCCCGTAGGGATATAAACAGGATTTTATAATCTCCTCAGTTTGCAGTTGTTGCCTTCCTGTAGGAAATTTGCACAAATAGCAGAGGGGAGAACGTGAACATCACATGTTAACTGCCCTTTAATGTCAGTGTCACACATTACTCAGCAAAAGCTTGCCCTTATTTCATCCACAGTCCTTTCTCTTACAGCCTATTTTGCCATCCTTTTTTTTTCCCCCTCCTGTGAATATTCCCAATTTCCTCACATTCTTGTCCAAAATGTTTGAGAGCTTCCTGCCTAGGCCAGATGCAAGAGTGATGACTATTGCACAGCCAATGCAGCAATGAAGTGTTGATCAAAGCCTGACTCATCCAATGGCTCTGAAAAACACATGCTTCTTCAGGCTGCGTTGTAGCTCAAGTAGTGGAAAGCATATTCAGCAAGCCAAACCTGGGATCATTTAAACTTGACGTTCTCAAAAGCCTCACAAAAAAGTACAACTCCACACATTTCGGGTTTAAGGCAATCTCCCAGCCAACTTTTGGGGAGCATAACCCCAGATTTGGCCATCCACAGTGGACTCACCTATTCCACACTTCTCCCTGCTGCATAAACCGAAGCAGCTGAATGCAACTCTTGCTCTGGTGCTGTAGTCATCTTAATTAACATACACTCCTATTGGTTTCAGTCCTCCCTTGTCTCCAAACCAGCAAGTACATGAAAAGAAGATCTCTGTCTCTACCAGGAATTACATACTTTGGGAATGGGAGAAGGGAAAAGTAATCTGAAGAAAGCATATACTGCAGAGAGCGCTCTGAATCTGAAAAAAAATAACATCTCAGTGTTTGCTGGGTCAGGTGGAGTGTTGGGTAATGAAAACACAGGAAGGCATAAGCCAGAGGGATTTTAGGGCTGTATACTGAAGAGATGGGTTGGGGACTGGGTAAAAACATGTTGTGTTTCAAGGCAAGCTATTTACAGCCCCTTTCCCTATGTTTCCCAAAATTACTTCCTGATGGGATTTATTCTCTGCTGCAGATCTGGATGCAGAAAAGCATCTGATGCTGATTAATTTCATGCAGATCTGTAACAGAGCCCTGTGCTCTCATTCAGCCATGAGCAAGCCTGTGCATTACTCCTGAACCCACTGCTCTGACTGTTCCCATGGTAAAACCAACCACAGCTACCAGCGCAAACGCAACCTGCAGATCTCGCCTGAAACAAGGCATTTTGAATCCCTCTCTCCCCACCACATCTCCAGATTCACTTGTCAGCACAGAGGTAGAGGATGAAATCCAGCATCACTGTGACAGCTCTGCCAGCCTGTGTTGATAAATTCCTACCCATCGCTCAGTGAAGCCGTGCCAGCACATCTGGGAGACACACATCGCGCCCAGATCCGCGGGGGCAGAGTTATGGTGGTGTTGGCAGACAGTTGCTTGTTCATTTCATGCTTTTCAGAGATCAGTCATTGTGTTTGATGTTCCAGAAAAGCATAGGATGATTTTAACCTTGTGTTACCCATTTTTTACAACAGAAGTCAGCTTGAGAATTCACACTTCAGTGAGGAACAGAAACTTGAAACTGCCCCTAAACACCTACTGTATCAGGCTGAGATGTTACCATGTTGATTTACACACTCTTCAGATTTGTAAAGTGAGGGGTTTTTTATCCCATAATGAAAGGTGAGATTCAAAATACAGCACATTGGCCACGCATATATGAAGTAGGCCATACTTGGCCCACATAGTTGGCACCCCTAATTTAAAGCATATCAGAGAAAATAACCCAAGAAACGGTATGTGTTCCCTATAAATAGCTGCTCTTTAGGTAATAGTCAGTGTGTGGTTTATGAACAAAATCTGTCCAAACTACATCAAAGTGCCTGAATATTTGCTGTCTGATTTTGCTGAGTGGTGTGTCTAATTTAGCTAACACCTCCTGTTGCAGACCGTTGTCCTGTTTTCTTTCATAGGCCTCTGAACTCTATGGTAGCATTTGGACAGATTTTATGTAGGATTTATTGAAAGATTTTTGCACTGATTTAGTGCATGGGCTACTTGAGCCAAGTGAAACAGGAACTATATTCCTAAGGCATGAAAAGGCAGAAAGGAAATTTTCTTATTGAAATATAATTTTTCCACATTACTTAATAGTCTAGAAAGTTAATACCTTTCTAGCAGCACTTCCCACAGGGAACAAAAAAATACAGTTCCTGCTCAGCCAAATAACAATGTAATAATGTTTTAGGTTGCGTTAAATATCTTAGAAACTGGCAGGTGTCACAGCCACCTTGCCTTCAGTGAAAAAGGCAATTGAGAGCCCTTATGAAACAAGGGATTTACATCAGTAGGGGCTACTACACAAAAAACAGGCACATGGCAAGGTTTGAATAGATGGTGAATCATGTGGCCCAAGGGATTTTTCAGGGTGGGGGCGTGTGTGTAAAATATCAGGCCATGAGGACCAGATGGTAGAGCTCTGCATGTGCAAGAGAAACAGCAAGAAACACTACAGAAATGGATACTGAGAAGCAGCTGAAAGTCAAGGAGACTGGGAGCTTTGATTTTGAAAAAATGTATTTCCAGGGTTGAGTGAGGATCAGAACAGTGTTGGCACTGTGAGCAAAAACACAGCTGAAAAAACAATTTTGTACAGTTGTTCTGTAAACGAATTGAATCACCTTGAGTATATTCCTAGCTTTGTCATAAGCTTCCCCTCCTACACTGATACTGTCACCCATAACTTCTTTGTGTGTGTAAGGTATAGTTCAGCTCTCCTGCATTACAGCTTCTACTTCCCTGTCTGCCCCATCAGTTTGCACTAAATTATGTGGGGCAGAGATTGCTCTTCAGTAAGCGTCTGTGCACATGACAAACGATTGTTGTTCTTGTGTAATATTTGGAATTTATCGGAAATTCACTCTACTGACATGGTAAGTCCCATTCTTTAGGGTCTGTCCTATTGTAAACTCTTCAGGGCTTTGTCTCTTGCTCTATATGTACGTGCTGTAGTGGTGATTCATCACTGAAAACACAAATAATTAATGTCACTAGTAATGTTAAAAAATAAATATTGAAGGCTCTGTCTTGTTATGCACATTCTTAACTAAGTTTATTAACATTTCCTTTGACATAAATGGGCCTACTTGTTCTTACTGTTAAGTCATTGTAAAGCTGGAGTCTGTATTATCAAGAAGAAAATTCTTTAGCGTATTTTAAAAACATAGTTCTGGAGACATTTAGGAAGAATAGGTCCCCATTCTTGTCTAGTTTATATTACCATATAAACTAATAATATGAGTATGCAGCAGATGGCGCGTGCTGTTCCTCTTCTCTGCAATTGTGGCTACAAGGAAGTACCGGTAGTCTAAGACCCTGCTGGTTAGCTAAAATAGTAGTATTTAGAAATACTACTGCAAGCCATGCTGCTTAGCCTAAGGGCATGCCTTATTATAGAGCTTAACTGATTGGAAACTTAAAACTTTTACAGTATTCACTGTTCCTCCAAACAGAAGAATGTAGCTAACCAGAATATTTTGTCAAATCTGTTAACATAGTTACTATTTAAAACAGTATTTTGTGAGCAGAAAGATTTACAGTTATGTTTCTTTCCTCACTTGACTCTCTATAGTCACAAAACTCATGGGCTTTTAATATTATTAAATCTCAGTTTAATTGACTTCTTCAAGCACATCACAAAGGACGCAGGCAGCACAAGTTTGCTGGTGTTTCCCTCGGAGTCCAGGCTAGGGATATGCCTTGAGGTTTTTCCATTGTACCAGAACAGTCCAGGAGGTTGCAAGCACTTTTTGCCAGGCTTGTTATTTTGAGAAATGGGAGTATCAACTTATTTTATCACTCTCTTTTGTAAAAAATTAAAATATTAAACTTAATCTGTGAGTCTTTTTTGGGTGTCCTCATAACTAACCTGAATTACCCATCAATACCATGTAAAGTGTTAAAGCATCTGTGAAAAATCGTAAACTTTGAGCAGTTTTCCTAGGCAGTGTGCTAACCTTTCATTCCTTCATATTATTTTCCTTGGCAATTGTGAAGCGACAAATTGGTAACAAGATTGGTACACAGATATTCACCACACCACATTAAAGTCTTGATTTTGGTACGCTCACTGTAAATCTCTATACGCATATTGACTCTTGAGCTGCAGATGCGTAAGCTTTTGATGAAACAGAATTTGGGCCAAAATCAATACACAGGCTAAAGCAGAAGTAGGAGAAGGACACTTGCAATTAGTAATGATTACATTTGAATTTTACTAACAGAGGGTTGATTCTTCTCTCATTTAAATCATTCCATATTAGACTTTAGTTTTTCAGAATCAGCAAAATACATTTAGCTTTTGCATAGGACTTTATATGCCTAAAGCACTGCATACCTGTTAATTAAAAATAAGTAACTGAGACACCACGATGCTGTATTTCATCAACACAAAGTTGACTCACTACAGATAGAACATCCATCACTTAAAAACAGTCTTTGGAGTGTTTACAGTTGATTTTATGATCTACTCATTTTATATTGTCACATCCTGAATCTAAAGGTGTGCAAATGTAAAAAGTTTCCTTAACCATAAAATGTAAACGGAGACAAAGGTGTGAGAAATGTAAAGATTGTTTTGTGAGACTTGCACAAAAAAAAAAAAAAAAAAAAAAAAAAGAAAAAAGAAAAACCCCAACCTAACAGTGACCCACAAAATATTTTTATCCCCAAAAAAAACTTTTAGGGCAATAATTGACTTGAAAAAACCCCTCAATTACAGTGCTCAGTTACAGGAAGACTACTAAGTCTATCTGTTGATTGTATCATACATAGTGTGATGCTGGTTTTGAGACAGGTACAATTAAATCATTTCAGGGTAAAACAATTCTTTCCTGGACCATTCATTCCTATGCAACACTGGAATGCCCTCAGCCATTAAAGCTGACAGGAGCTGATGGCTTTTACTGTGTTCCAGATAAGATATATAAGACTGTGGTTCATAAGGAATCTTTTTGATAGCTTCTGTATTCTACATGCTTACATCAACTTTTTCCTCAATAAAATGGTTAGCTTTAAATAGGTGTGAATTTGGCTGCTTTTTTTATTATTATTTGAATAGCATGACACTTTGTTTGGTATTTACATGTCCTTCCTCCTCCTTGTTGCCAAAATATCCTTTTCTTGCTTTTTGTTTGCCTTCTGCACAAAGCAGCATCTTCCTTGAAAGACAGGCAGAGTGTGGTTGCCTTTGCATTCGGTCTGGAAGGCCATCTAGTGACACAACTGTGCAGAAGAAAATGCAAAACCCTGTTTGTCTTTTTTTTTTTTTTTTTGTCTTAGTTGAATTAAATGATCTTGCTATACTCAAGCATGCCCTTGGTGGTTTCTTGCTATTCCCACGAGTGATACTTCAAAAATTTGAGAGTAAATTTTGATTTCTTAAGAACGGATGGGGTTTACTTGAGATGGAGCACACTGCTAATCCCTGCTAGGAAAAAAACACAATTTTTTGTGCAGAATATTGGCAGATTGGCACCTGATCTGATCTGTCACAAATACAGCATCACTCACCAGACTTGTGTATTGTGGCCAAACGTATCCAGCTGTTGTGATCCCCTGCCTTCCACAGTACAAACAACGCCAGATTGGTGCCTGGGGACACCACATTTCTGTAACTAAAATGAAAAATTCTGGTTTATTTTCATTGCAGCTCACCTTGGATGGGTGGGACTGGGCGAGTAAGCAATAAGCAGAGCTGTCGGTTCCTACGTGAGCAATAACTACAGTAGAAAACAAGCAGCAAGTCACTGCTGCTCCTGGGGCCGGCAAGAAGACATGTTTTGGGGTGGTACCTCAGGGGTTCCCAGCTTTCCCCCCGCTGCAGCACGGCGGGCACTGTGTTCGCTGTATGCTCTCCCCGTGGCCGCTGGGACTGGGATCCGCCAACATGGGGGTTGAAATGGAAGACATTCCCCTCAGCCGCTGGCAGCCTGGAGTAAACCAACATGGCGCTTGAGGTCCAAAGGGGCTCCCTGGAGGAAGAAATGAAGAAGGGGCGGTGACACACTGGTGCCACAGCTGCTGGACGGGGACGAGCACCCAAGCATAGATGACATGGCGGGGTGATGCCCAGCGGACAGGGCCCAAGGGCCGCAGCCTGAGGAGCGGGGTGTGTGTGTGTGTGTGCAGCCCCTCTGGGGTTTGGGGAAAGCCAGACGAGGTTGCTGAGGGAGAGGGGGGGGTGCCCACCTCAGCGCCACGGCCCCGTGGGTGCCCCCGGGGCAGCCGCACGTACCAGTGAGGAGCCGATGCCACGGGCGCTCGGGATCGCCGAGGCGGGGGGTTCGGGGTGAGGCACCCCCCGCCGCCCCCGGCGCTCGGCGCGGCCCCGGGCGGCGCCCTGAGGTACCTGAGGCGGGGCGCGGGCGGCGCCTGCCCGCCCCGGGGCTCCCGGAGCGCTGAGGCGGGTTGAGGGGAGCTTCGCCTTCCGCGGCCCCGCTCCATGGAGGAGGCCAACGGGGGGACCCTCCCCGAGGGCTCGGCGAGGGGTTCCCGCGGCAGCGCGACGGGGAAGAAGGAGGTGAAAGTCGTGATCGTGGGGGACGGCGGCTGCGGGAAGACGTCGCTGCTGATGGTGTACGCCAAGGGCGCCTTCCCCGAGGTGAGCCGGGCCGAGGGGCTGGGGACCGCCCGGCAGAGCTGCCGGTGCCGGGTGCCGGCTGCCAGCTGCTTGTCCCGGGCTAGAACTGCTTCTCCTCCCTTTGCAGCAATACGCGCCGTCCGTCTTCGAGAAATACACGACCAGCGTTACGGTGGGCAAAAAGGAGGTCACTCTGAATTTGTACGATACCGCAGGTAAGGGGTTTTTTTCTTTTTCGCGTCGTGCTTCCCGTTTTTCCCAGTTGCAACGGCATCAGGGTGCGAGAGGCGGTTTCTGTGCGGCTGCTGGGGTGGGACAGCGCTGGGGCACCGGCCTGCGACTGAGCCCAAACGCAGCCCCCGGGATTTTTTAATTTCAGACAGATAAACAGAAACTGCTCTTACTGGTGTAAATGCTGCTCTTGTGAGCGTGCCTGTATTTCTGTTCCAGCAGCTTTTGATGCGTCAACTTAAACCAGACTGATAGTTGAAGTCTGTAAAGCTGGATATATTTTCAGATTGCTTTTCAACTAGCATACTTTTAGCATCATATCGCAGTTAAGACTGATAGAGATGAAAGTACAAACAAGCCAACAAACATTACTTGTTGCATGCATAGATGTGCCTTCCAGAAATAAAAGGGTCGCTCATCTAATAGCAGTTCTAGCCATGGACTTGTTCATTATCTTAACAACACAGTTTATTAAGAAAATCACATCAAATAGCAAACATATCTGAAGTTATTAAAACCCAGTTCCCAGGTGCAAAGCATAATACAATCAACCAGGAAAATATTTTAATCTTTTTCCACGTGTGATTGCATAGGGAAGGAGAAAAAGGCTGGTTTATGTTCAAAGTAAAAGGCCATAGCAGCATTATTTGAAAATGCTGGTAGTTGGTTCAGGTTCATTTCAGGAACTTGTGAAATTGTGTTCAACTTCATTCAAAGTTGCTAGACTCTCTTATCCAGCTGTGTTCCTAACCGAACCCTAAAATGGACACGTGCTCCATTTCAGCTCAGTGTAAATCATCTGTTTCAGTTCAAGCCTGTGAAGTTGTTCCAAATTTGCACTAGGACAAATAAGAACCAAATGCAGTCCATATTAATTTTTAATAGTAAACACACTTACCTTCTTGCATACCATACATGATACCTGAGTAGATAATTTAAAAGGCTTTTAATCTAACAGGGAATTTTATTGCTAATCTTTACTGCAGTATAGTAAGATCCTGAGCACCCAGTCTGCCATTACATCTTCTTGTGTCAATGTTTCTGTTCTCAAGTCCAGTGATTTGGATAATGTAGCTCCTACTGAATGGCAAGGCTTTCGTATTTAAATCTTAAAGGAAAAGAGAAGGTCTGAGATCTAGTGTGAGCAAACAAAGTGGGGTTTTCTTAATATAGTGTGGTGGCACAAAGAACTTGCCACAATGAACTTGTTTCCATGTTTGTTCACTGTCAGTGTGGAATTTTTGCCTGTCACAGAGTTCTTGATGCTTGGCTGGCTCTCCTTTAAAATCACCACACTGCAGCTTCCAGCATTGTCCTTTGGAGTCTCTTCCAGGCTTTAAGGAACGTGGGCTGGATCCAGCAGTGGTGGTATATAGGGCAAGTTCAGTATTGCAGCACTAAATTCTCGCAATCCTGACATAAGTGCCCAGCTCCTTGCGTCACGCGGGGAGTTCAGCTCTGTGCAAGACCTACAGCCACCAGCAGCCCAGAGAGCACTCGCCAAACCTGGCACTGGTAGCTTATCATAGAATAGTTTGGGTTGGAGGTGACCTTTAAAGGTTATCCAGTCAAACTCCCCTGCAATGTGCAGAGACATCTTCAACTAGATCAGGTTGCTCAGAGCCCCGTCCAGCCTGACCTGGAATGTTTCCAGGGATGGGGCATCTACCACCTCTCTGGGCAATCGGTTCCAGTGTTTCACCACCCTCATTGTAAAAAAATCTCTTCCTTATATATAGCTTAAATCTGCCCTCTTGATTTAAAACCATTACCCCTTGTCTTATCACAATAGGCCCTGATAAAAAGTTTGTTCCCAGTTTTACCCTATTTCCTTGTTCAGGCATGTAACTTTAGCAGAAAGTGTCTACCCTTCCACATTTAGCTCACAGCTATAAATATTGTCTTGGACCAAAGCACTGCCTCATTGAAGAAGAGCATATTTTGTGTCTTACAAGGCACTTTGGGAAGTGGAGATGCCATTGTTGCCTAGTTGGCATAGCTCTTTGCCATGCAAGAGCAATTGCTTTCTGTCTCGCATCTGGAAACCTTGAAACCCAACATGTTTCACCTCCCAAAACAGTGTCATAGCCACCAGGCTAGAAGTTGGTAGATGCTGCTGACACTTGTCTCCTCCCTTCCTGTTAAATTTCTTCTGCTTTGCATGAGACACATCAAGTTTATCAGGTACAAAGAAAGGGAGGACACTGTCAGCTTGGTTAAGGCATTTGCTTGAGAGGGGAAAGACTTGAGTTTTGGTTCTATTTCAAAAATGCTTACATAGTTTTATGTTACAGATCTATGTCATACTCTGTAATACAAGCAGCTTTTCATCCTCTTTCTGAAGCTGGAAGTTAAACTAGAGGAAGAAGTCACTTGAGCACACATTTTAATTCCATCTTGTTCTTAATAATACAAAACTGATGCTGAGTTCCTTGAGGGTTGGACTGGGACCAAGAGTTGTGTCCCATCCTCTATGTTCAAATAGTCCAGCAAGAGAAGAGAAAGGGGAGCGTTCAGTTCTGGAGACAACAGAGCTCCTGTCCTGCTGCCACGTGGATGCAGCATGGGAAATGCAGTTTCAGAATCGGTGTTTCACTCTGTTGACTCGTGTCTGTTATATCATGCAGCAGTAGCTCTCATTAAATTCCTCTCTTAGCTGAGTGATGATGCTCAGGGGTGAGTGTACAGCAGCAACTCCAGCTTAAAGAGGAGTTTAAACATACAATTTACTAGTGGAAGTACAGTGGTTTAACAGTGCAGCATGTCATCCTCTGACTTACTGAACTCCTTGAGTTGGTCTTGCTTTTCTCTAAAATCCTAAAACAGCTTTTGTGTTTTGCTTCTCAGTTTGAAAGGTTCCCAAATAATTCAGATCATCATAAAAGCATTTAAATAGGATCAAAAGGGTGTAAACCTATTTCTGAGGTGAAGGGGTTCAGCTAAGTGCCATGTAGCAGCGTAGGGGAGAAGGCAAAGCTGTTCTAAAAAGTATCACTGTATCTTCATGATGCAGAAGGGACTTTGATATTTTTAGGATCTTGCTAAGAGCAACCCTACATAGAGCTGCATGTACTTCAGCATCCTGGGAGGGTAATGGACAGGCTCAGCTCTGTGGGCTGTTTCAACATAGAAGGATTCTTTCTATTGTCAACTCCTGTGCAGCTTGAGACTTTGAGCTTCTCCTGCTTACTGAAGGAGAAGGACATAAACCAAGCCCCTAAAAATCAAACATTTCAAGCTACAAAAGGTTGTGGGGGATTTTTACAAGAATTTTGGTAACAAATTAAGTCAATGAGTTAGTCTAAAATATGCTAGAACAACAAATTTTTTGTGAGACTTTTGTACTATGCTACTCTTCCTCATTAGAGACACTTCTTGCTGTTGCAGGAAGTTGGTGGTATACATACGCAATGTGTAAAGTCTTTGTCATATCACTTGTCTTGTCTGCAAACGGGCTTTGCAGCTGCTTAATCAATTAAAAGTTTTCATTTCTTGCTGTGATCCATACAGGCAAAGTCATTGAGAGGTAAATTAACTTTGTTATTTTTTACATACTAAGGGAGCAGTGTTGATGTTTTAGCTGAAGTTCAGACACCAGGTTCAGTTTCTGATGCCATTCAGTGCAGAACTTTCTCAGACCAAAGAAAAGAGCTCTGCTGGGCTGAAGAGGAAGTAAGGCCTTATCATTGTGGGTGCTTGTTCTGACTGGCAGGAAGCACATACAAAGCCTCCCGTGGGGTTTTTCAGGTCTGTCATGACAGATGCATAGCAGTCTGAGGCTTTAAGAGAAATTTTAAAAGCTGGTATGTGCCAGAATAATTTTTTTTAACTTTTAAAGGGAGGGTGTGCCTGAGGAAGACAAACCCCCCAACTTTTTAATTGAGGTGTGCTCTACCCCAAGTGTCCTCTTCTACTGGTCTTATTCCTGTCAAGAATATATTTCCCAATTTTTTTTTAAACTCGGTAGTGAAAAAACATAGTTGCCTAGCTAATAACCACAGTATTCCCATGGAGCCTGCAGAATAACAAATCAAAAAGAATTGGGTGCATTTCTGTGTGCCTGTGAGGGCTCGCCATCTCAAGGCTCCATGTTGATCCTAAACCATGAGTGTGGAGTATTACAGATAACACGTGGCCATACGTAGGAAGTGGTCGGCTGGTCTGGACCGGGTGGTGAGATACGACATTCTTCCTTATCCACTGGCAGTTGGTGGTGATGGACAGTGCTGCTGTACGTTAGGACAGCACGCAGCGGTAGACTCCAAGGCTGGCAAGTCTTAACTCTATCATTTACCTTCTCCCATCACGGGTAACAGGTGCTGAGCTCCTTTACCAACTGAGCAAGGCACAGGCTGGCACTTCTTCGGTAGTGAATTGTGAAGGGGTGAGGAAGAACAGAGGTAAACGTGCACGTTCACAAGATCTGTGGTTTCACTTCTTCCCCAGTTCACCCCCAACCATCACCTGAAGTCCCACCCCACCGTAGGGCCCAACTGCAGTGATATGGGTTATGCAGCATGTCACAGAGGCATGCAGGAATGTGATCATTGCAAAGAATTAGCAAATTTTAGGTGAATTCAGCTAGATGGGAGGTTTTTTATTTAAGAAAAAAAAAACAGGGTTTCTGATGCTACAATGAATTGAGGAAGGCAGAGGAGAGTCACAGATAGGCTCACATGTAGGCATATATTTAACCAATTCTTCCCCAGCATGCTTTTTGTTCATGGGGGCAATAAAAAAGCTTCCCCATGCTTGAGGAATCACACTTGGTGGCTTTGCATATACATTCAGTTAGTGCTTAGGTCCAGCCCTATTCCTTAATTTTAAAACTCCTCTAGTAGAAGACCTATATCTTTGTCAAATTAGCTCTCACCACACACTGAGCAGCTTTACAGAGAAAAAGTCTCCTAGGCCCTTCCTTGCATTTCAGCAGCAGCACTTAAGGACAGGGGGTGAAAGGGATTGTTTTCAGTGAGAGGGATGTCAATGTTTAGACAGAGCTTGATGTGGATCCTGTTACATCCTCAGCAACTGAAGAACTGCATCTGAGCTCTTAAAGAACAGCTTCCTCTCCTTCCACATGAGCGCTGCAATCATCTGACCATAATACAAGTTAAGCAATTACCATCTAACCTTCCCCCTGCAGTCTCTGCGCTATACCTTGCTCTGTGCTCTGTATTTAGAATTCCAAATATGCATGGAGCCACAATTTATACAGCAGCATTTTCTCATGCATTTATTTTCTCAGTTTGCTTAAAAACACCCCGTAACTACACAGCTGGCTTTGAAGATGAAGGTGCAAGTTCACTGGGGCATATCTATAGTTCTTGACTTTCAATACAGCATATTTGTGCCACATCACTGAAGACACCTCTTCTGTTATCCCATTCTGGAGAATACGAATTTAGCTGTATGTTCCTGTTCCAAGCAAATGAACACATTTCTTTCAAGGGGACAGTCCTGTCTGCCTCGTAAATTGCCAGCAATAACTTGGAGGGCCTTTTAATTTTACGAGCCACAGTGGTATGAGCTCAGAGGCATGAACTTCAACAGGAAAAATCATACACAGCATATAATGCTAGAGGAAGTTATGAGAGAAAAAGAAAGTTTGGCACCTGATGTGTTTAATGCATTTAGAAGATTAGCTCAACAACAAAATGATAAATCAGTTGCAAACAAGTAGGTGGATTTAGGAGAATAAGAAAGGCTAACTAGTACAGTCTTTGCTCTGAACATTTATACAACATGCATAATTTTGTCAATTGTCTATTCTTTCTGGATTAAACCTTGAGGGATCAATCCTTCTTCATTCTGCACCTCGTCCACAGAACATGCTGCTCTTGGGGGAGCTCAAATACAGAGTGGTCCAAACCTGAGATTCCTGTTCTACAGACATCTCAGGCAAACTGAGTAATGGCTTATCCAGAAGGGATTGCCTTGTAATAACCTGGATCTTGATCCATTGTTTAAATTAAGGAGGGGAGCAAAGTATTGCAGAATTATTGGCCTTCTGGTATCTGCAATTCTTCAGACTGCAGCTGGAGACAAGCACATTGGCTGGAGTGACAAGTACGTGACTTGGGACTGACCAATATGCCAGGGTAGGAATAATTGGTATAAAGTTGGGGCACACTGAAATTTTCAGCATCGCTTCATTTGAAATATCAATATAAAGATGCGAGATGTGTAACTTCCCTGGAGGGCAGTTTCTGGGCTGTGTGGATGTTGTGGTGATCGTGGGAAGGAATGGCATTCCTGGGTCTCATTTTGTAAATCCAGTGCATCACAGAGACATACCTGCTTCCAGGGGCAGCATTCAGGTGGCAAAGAGATCTTCTATAGCCTGCTTAAATTACTGTTTCTTCCTTATTAAGTTTCTGAAAAAATCTCAAATGAAAAAGATTGGGTTTTTTTCCTGAGCTGCCAGCTATATCTGGTAATTACTTAGCCTCTCAAAGCACTCAAAGGTGTTCTTCAGACCCCAGCATGGTGATTACTGCTAAGTTGTATCTACAGCAAGGGGAAGAGTACCGGCCTGAAGCAAATTAGCTTCCTTTTGTCAGATCACATGCTAAAATATCTTTAATCAGAAGTATGACAAATCCCCTCCTTTACCAGAATTCAGCAGCATGCCTAAGATCTGCTGCATAGTCCTGCTTCAAAGACCAGTTAAGCCTGGCTCATGTTGCAGCATGTCTTGTAAAATCACGTGCGTGGTGCTACAGTGAGCAGCGGTGCTAAAGGCACCGTGTGCTGATCGCCGCTTCTTCTCAGCTTACTGGGCTGGGAAAATCAAGTTTGCCACTGAGATTTTCACTTCAGCATCTGCATCTAGCAAATACAGTGTTTCTTCTCCTCACAGCATTGCGTATGCAGATGTATTTGGGAAAAATGAAGCTACTGCCAAATTGCGAATGTTTTAATCAATAACTGTCAAATTCCTCTTGCTGATTTTGCTTGTGAGCAGCAACTTGGCAATCAGTGATTAGAACTGCTTCTCAGTACTTAGCAGTTGGACAAAGCATGCTTTTATTAAAACTTGCCAAGGACATGTTTTATATTCTAAAGCATCAGTTTTGTCAGTGAAGATGAATCTCCTGCATTTAAGGGAAGGAATTTTACAAGTATGGAAAACTACGCAATTATAATACTGTTCTTGAGATCAAGTATGTATCTTTACATATTCCCATCATAATGCTTGCTAAGGACAGATGTTTCTTTTATCCAAAACATTCTCTATGTTTCAGGGCAGGAGGATTACGATCGGCTACGACCGCTTTCTTACCAGAACACAAATGTTGTGTTAATTTGTTATGATGTCATGAACCCCACTAGCTATGATAATGTAGCAGCTAAGGTAAGAGGCTTTTGTAATTGCTTCCACCTGTGAAATGACTTGCATACATCTGATATGTGACAAGATGTCAGATTTAAAAAGCTGATGCTTTTAGTGTCCTGTACCCTGGGCGTGCATGCACAGATCACTCATCACGCACTGAGCTGCAGGTCACAGACCTCAGACCTGGAGCTCACCTCCCCACAGCTCCCAAGCGCCCAGGGCTGGGGCTGACTCTGCAGTACGCTAAAAATATCACATAGCAGTGGTGAGATCACTGCTTTACCTGTAGTGATGTCACACGACCCACATTGCACGCAAGCATTTTAGATTCAAGCCTACTTCCATCATGTGCATATTTAACTGCAGGGGAGAGATGTAAGCAGTCAGTTCTCTGTACTAAGATTTCTGTTATGCTCCGAAGTAGAAGTTAGTGTCCCTGCACGAGCAAAACAAAGCAAGACTTGGTCCAAATTCTGCTCTTAAATGACTTTACAGGAACTCTTCTGAATTTAAACAGATGTTAAATAAGCGCTTTGGCATGGTGACAGATGTCACCTATGTTTTTATAAAGCAACTGACGGAGTAGGACTTTTAAATGTAATGTAAATTTTCCATGTTGGGCCCCTACTGCTAGATTAACAACTTGCAATACTCTGAAATTGCAGCATATATTAAATGCTGGTTCTGTTCCTTGGATTTACTGTTTTGATTTCAGGAATTAAAAAAAAAAAAAAAGAAAAAGTCAGATGTAAAAGTTTTGTTTTCCTACCATCAGTGGTATCCTGAAGTGAATCACTTCTGCCGAGGTGTCCCCCTCGTACTGATCGGCTGCAAGACAGACCTTCGGAAAGACAAAGAACAGTTGCGCAAGCTCAGGGCTTCTAAGCAGGAACCCATTACTTACAACCAGGTAAGTACAAGTGCATTTAAAGCGGTGTCCTCTTTGCAAGAGATAAAGCACACCTACTTTAGTGGCATTGTTCCTCACAGGTACAATCACAGATACTCCAAAATTAGGTGATCACAGTGTCCAGATAAAGAAAAAATTCTTGACAGTCAGCACTAACGGGAGTTTCTGTAAGTCCTTTTTGGAAGTGGCCAAATCACCACCCGGTTTGAGAACCAAAGTAAAGAGAAATTTGAGGAGCTTTTTGCATATTTTGGGGTGTATGAAAGGACGCTACTAGCTACACCTTCTAGGCTGCTTACATGTCATTCTTGTTTGCTTTCACAGCTGGGTTATTACTGTTACAAATTTGTAAGCATCAAAAAGTTTGCTGGACTCCCTCATTTTTATTAGCATACATTGCTCCCATCACTGGTACTTGTGGTCAGGATTGTGATGAAGACTGAAGATGCTAGGATACACATTACAGGATTAAAAATGCTGACCGCTCTGGAAAAAATGTGGTTTGCAAACCCTATTTAAAAACAGATATTTTCCAGTACAATAGCAAACACATCTGCAAGGCTTCTCTAACATAAGAGACTTGAAGTCTCTAAAGTAATCTTTAAAAAAAAAAAAAAATAAAAAAATCTACATTTAATCAAACATTTTCAATTTAAGTATTATGAAGTGAGACCTCCAACTAATCTTACAACAGCAGCATCACTGTCCTAGGTACAGGAGAAACAGTCAGTGATGGAACAGCCTGTCCCATGTCCCACTTTTTTAAACTACAAAGCCATCCTTCTCCTCTCATCTCGGAACAAGAACAGCAGCTTTCAGACTGTTTGAGACACAAGGCCAGGGAACAGGTTTAAGTGCACAACCTTGAATGAATCACTACTGCTTCTAAACAGCACGAGAAGAAACTGCAACTGCATCACTGCTAAACCATGCTGGGATTTTTAGCTTGTTTTTCCTTGCGCACGAGATGCCCATCTTGTTGCTTTATGAACAGCTGCAGATTGTCCCTCATTTGCATTAATAACTCCCTTCACCTTCCTCACCCTGAGGTTCAGGGCAAGCAACAGACACTTTTGGCAAGTCTGCTGAGGCCTTATGCAATTAAATAGCATGGCTCACATAATGTACAAACTTGTGTCTCCTATGTGAGCCTTCCCACTTGGTTTTTCTCCCCTTAAACATACACTACCTCAGTCTTTTACAGCTCATGGCATCTTGAGTCATGCGACGCGATGCTTCCAATGCCAGGTACAGAGGAGCTGAACAGTATCTGCCAGCACTGCAGCCTACGAACAACTAGAAGGAGACAAACTTCACTTAAATATGCTGAAGAAAAATCCCACTATAGAAGCCTGAGTGCTCAACTGACCCCACTCCCAGGGCTTATACTGAACAAATGCAGAGTTTGCGAGCTGTGGGTTGCAGACCTGGAATTTACGCTCCAAAGCTCACAAGCATTCAAAACTGAGGTCTGACTCTGCAATGACAGTAAAAGGATCACAAGCAAAGTAAGAAGTCACTGTTTTGTCTGTAGTGATCTCGCACAAGCAGGATTGCATGCAAATGTTTTAGATCCTAGTCTGCTCCCACTGCATGCATTTGGGTGAGGTTGAGAAACAGGCACTCGTTTGTGTATAAGGATTTTGGCTGAGCCCTAGTGATGCTCCAAATTCTGCTCTTACATGACATTCATTAGTAAAGGTGACACCACATAACAGTTAAGGCCAGGCCTGAAAAAAATACCACTGTGTAGACATCTTATTCCCACTTAAGTATCGACCTCAGCATTTCTTTTAAACTAATTTAATACTGAGAGTATTTTTACACTATCAGCAGTCTGCATCTTAGATTCTCCAGTACACTGAACTGTTAGACCAGGCTCTAGATAAACATAGGGGAAAAAAAAATAGTTTAACAGTGCCTCAGTTTATTACCAATGCCACTTATACTCTAGCACTATATTCAGAGGCAGCTTCTTCCTTCCTGACCTCATGATAGAAAAATAATTCCCTTTCTCATCCCACCTTCCTTCTCACCTACTCTAGGTTTACACCTTTTCTTACCTTTTGTTTTTTCCAGGGTGAAGCAGCTTGTCAGCAGATTAACGCAGAAGTTTATCTGGAGTGTTCAGCAAAATGTCGTGAAAACATAGAAAAGGTTTTTAAAGAAGCAACAACCATTGCACTGAATGCCATGAAAAAAGCCAAGCGTCAAAAGAAACGGACAGTGTGCTCAGTGTTATGATCTGGACTGTAAGAGAGTATTGACTGCACAAGAGCCAAGTGATTCAGATTTTTAAAACAGTGTAACTTGAAAGACCATCTTTTTTCATTATGTTTGTATTCCTAGAACAATTTTTATTTTAAAAATTTAATTATTTTTAATATTTTTGCACTTTTTTTGCACTGCTCTCACAAAGTTTTCAAAGCTCTTTATCAAGGTTAACTGATGCTGCATGTCTTTGTCCATCTGGCTTTTGCTCGTAAATGTAAACGACCACCAGTCAGGTCTTGGACTTACTATTTAAATCGTATGACTTAGTGGGATTTTTTCCCTCTGCAAAATAATTGGGCATGTTACAGCTACAATTTACTCTTTTTCAAGCAGAAAAGCCACATCTTTTAGAAGAAGTGATGTTAGAGCCGCTTAACAGGCACCTTTGAAGAGACAGAAATGAAGTTCTGGCATAACATTTTCAAATTAATTCACCTGGTGGCAGTGGTAGGAGTTAGCCTCAAGCTGCCCCCAGTGTACAGATGGTGCACCCACTACTCCCCTTATACCACTGGGCCAACTTTGCAGAGCTGCACCTTCAGAGGTCTTGCAAGGCCTGCTGCCATAATAAAAAGTGTTTTTTATCAATGGAAATACATCGGTTGCTCCAATTCAGAAATGGAATTATCATGGAAAATATTTAATAGACAGCGCTCAAAGTTAAAAGTACTCCAAGCAGCTACTATGTGTAATGTAAAGTCAGTTTTACAATCAACTGATATAACCTACTTAACACATGGTGCGTGCTAGGGGAAGTACTTAACTCATGTTCCTTAACTAATGATATCATCTCTACTACTATAAATTAAAGTTTTCCCTTTTGTGATGAAGGTGTCAGTTGCCTGTTTAAGGATGAGGGATGCACAACCTAGTACATGTGCCTCAGATCTCCTAGTTCTTTCGCACATCCTCATGCAGTGAGATCTCAGATTTCAGGAGCAATCACCAATTTGTAGCTATCATAAACCAAACCTGTGAAGATGAAGGTTTCTGCCATACAGGCATTGCCAAAAGCTTTCTGTGTAAGGCAAACTACAGCCCATCCTAAGGGAGAATACATACGACTTGCATAATGGTAACAAGACACAAGCTTTTGCCAAAAAGTTCACGTGGTATGTGCGAGGAGTCTGCTATTAGGCAGACTTTGCACATATTGCCTGGTAACTGTACACCATACAGATCTCATGCAACTTTATCCTCTGCTGGTTACATGACCAGCAGATGAAAAGTTCTATTTAGGAGTGAACCATCATTATTATTTTATATGCAGGGTAAAGAGATCTTGATCATTGAAATAATACTTTTTTTTTTTCTTCTTCTTTTCCCTTTCTTCCCCTCATATGTTTTGATTTAATTAAGGTTTGTGAATTCCTGATCTTAAAATGGATTAAAAAAAAATAGTAATTACAAGTTTGTGTGCATCTTTGACTACAGAAAAATCTCGACGAATTGTGCAGCCCTTTCTCCACAAGACATTTGTCAGTAAAAGACACTAAACAACCCATCACCTTACCCATTATGAAACCTAACCATCAACTCGCAGGAAGTTACCGATTTACCCTCAGCTCCACACTGTGAATCTTTCTTGCTTTTTTAATCTGAGTTTCTCATGCTGCAGAACTCAAGTTACTCGCCATGTGCAGAGCTCCCCACCCCTGGAGAACCAGGTCCACTGCTTGGATCCAGCAGGTTTCAGCATCGCTCTCAAAATAAAACAATTTACATTTCATAAATGGAGAGTTCAAAGGCTTAAAAAAAACCTCACAGGGTGTGCAGTTAACATAGCAAGATACAGCCCAGTTAGTATGAAAGTTGTTCAAAATATGTAAATTGCAATTTATTGTTCATGCCCACAGGACAGCGACGCTGTAATTTTGCTAGCCTCGCAGCAACAGAACAACTGATGAAACCATTTCAAGTCTGTAGTGCATATATATATATATATATATTTCTTCATGAGCACGCTTACTGGGAGAAGGGCATCATTTTCAGATCACAGTCTGCCAAAGCATATGCCCAATTTGGGCTTTGTACTAGCTCAAAGGAAGCTTTCACCTTTGGGAAAGACACTGCCTAAAGCAGCTCACAATACTGCAGCTGGCCTTAGGAGGTACAGATGTTACAGCACCCAAAACAAGCTTATTTGAATAAGTTCAAGCAGCACAAGGAGTTAAGCAGGATAGCAGTCGGTATTTGTCCTCTGCCATCCTCCTGAATGAGTGTTTACATTCTCTTAATTATTGGTACAAGTGCAGCATCTAAAGAAAGTATTTCATATTTCTGCTGAGCCTGTCCTCCCCTTTCTGGAATGGCACTGGGAGCAAAAACCACTGAAAACAGAAACCAAAGTTCAACTCCACTTCTTGCCACTGATCAAGGTCATTTTAAGCAAAAATGGTGTCTCAAAAAAACAACCTGAAGGGCAGTGTATTAATTATTAAAAAGGGGCTGAAGCAGCTGCATATTGAATGGTTTATTTTAGGTCTTTTCCAGGCCTGGACAGATAACCTGGTCTCCCTGGAAGAGGGCTAGCAGACTTCCCTGCCATTTAAAAACTGCTTTCGCTTGTTTTTGTTTTCAAAAGAGGATTTCTCTTCTTTAAATAGCTTTTTAGAAGTGTATATAGCAGCAGTATGGTACAAAGATGGGCTGCTTTTTTGTTTTTTTTTTTTTTTTTTTTCTCTCACAGTACACACAGGTTAGTATTGCCACTGAAAATATGCCTTAAACAAATGCCTTTAAAAGCAGCATTTGGTCAGTATTACTGATCGACCTGGAGCGTTCATAAACCTTCGCAAATCCAATACCCAGAATTTAAATAATAAAACTGGAAAGTGTTAAATATCATTCCAGAATTGGAATAACAGTAGATCCCACATTCTCCCAGTGCTGGCACTTTGCTGGGCAGGTGCATGCTGCTCTATATATAGAAAAAAAAAAAAAAAAAAAAAAAAAAAAGAGGCAAACACATTTTGTATTAAATATACATAAATAGCAGGACTGCAGACTGGAGAGCCATGCTTCCATTAATACTGAGTCTGTGCTAGCAGAGTCCATATCCTTCACCAAACACGGGGACGGACGAGTCCTTCCCAGCCCATCCATTGTGTAACTGAGGTTTAGTGGGATCTGTCCCAAACACAGCACCTGCTGTGGGCAGAGGGACAGCAGCCAGCACGCCAGGGAGGGGGAGTTCACAGCTTCTTCATTTTGTCTTTGTTTTTCTGGAGTTTAGTGTGCACCACTTTGAGAGTAGTGAGGAAGTTCCCGAGGAAGAGCAGCAGAAACGTGAAAGCCAACACAAAAACCTGACAGGGGAGAAAGAGGGGAAAAAAAGAAAAAAAAAAAAAATGGTGAGAGCTGAGTGTACTGCTCTGGTCACATTTAAGTGAGCTCTGCTGGGGCTTGGTTGGCAAGTCCAGGGGTCTGTTAGCACGGAGATTCAAGGAGAGAAGATCATAGCCAATACACATCCATGCATCCAGCTGTGTAGATTAACAGGATGATTATTTTTATCATGATCATTTAAGTAGCATTTACTACTTTTTAATACTACAACATGGATTATATTCAACACTGCTGGACTCTACCAGACAGTAAAATAAAATCATTAAGTCCAACCTACTGGATTAACATTATGCTACAAGCATGTTCACTGAACAGCAGTGGCACAGGCATGGGGAAATAACCTGTTTCTGCAGGAAGGTGTGTTCCTCCTGAACAAAAGTAAGCACACAAGTAACACCAAGATCTGACCAAAATAAAGACCATCAGATTATCTGCACCACTGCACATGTGATGTGGTCCAACCTGGATCTATAGGAGCAATTGTATAGCTGGAAAAATGGATAGACACATTTCATAACAGCAACTGAGAAAACAAGTAGAAGGATCCCTAAAAGTGGGACAAAGTGGATGATACATTTATAAAGTGATTCACTGCCATAATTTTCTTTTGTCATATTTTTGTATACATAACCCACGGATCAGCCATAAAACCCACCAGCAATACAGCAGCCATTGCTATTAAATGCCCATTTACATGAACAATATGGAGAGTTATTTACCCACACATATTTTCTTCCCCCTACATGCTCTGCCTTTCAGTTTGTGTGGTCATCCGTGGGTGCAAGTCTCCCTACAGTAACTCACATTTATTTTGAGTTCTCTTGTATAAACTCTGTGCCACATCATCCCGAGATATTTAGATGGGGTCAGATGCCCAAATATCTAAGGATGTGGTTAAACACCCCCTCTCACCCTGCTCCATGCTTTTTCTGAGCAAAACCAACACCAACCTGCCATTCTTTGCACTCCTTATGCCTTGACAATCCGAAAAGCGTGATTGCATTATATAGCTGCCAGAACTACAAAGGGAAAAACAATAAAAAAAAAAGTTTAATCACTAGCAAAACAAAAAAACCACCCCAACCTTAGAAACATTTGCCATGGGTGTGTGTGATCCAAAGCACCTTTTTATGGTGCTTCAGCCACAGAGGGAGGAGGAACAGGATTGCCCAACTTACATGCCCAAAGAACAAGAAGGGAAGGAGAAACGTCAACCCCCGCCACATCCAGGACTGAAATCCTTCTGGAAATGGTTGGACAGAAGAGGCAGAGAGTGAGCACAGAAAAGCCAGGACTGAAGCTGCAGCCCTCCCCACCCAGACCACCCCATAAGGGCTATTCCCAATCCTGCTATGCAAAACCCAACCAATTTAAAACATACACTTGAAGGTGTGGTCATGGGAGGAGGATGAAGGTGAGGATGACCAAAACCTCCACCTTAACCTTCCCAAGAGCTAATGGAGATCAAAGCCTCTGCTCCCAACCCAAGGAAAGGGAGAAAACCTTTGCTGCCCTTCCTGCCTTAGGACACAGGCAGCAGAGCAGGGAGGTGGCACCTCTGCAAAGCTCGCTCTTGGCAGGCCACACAGCCCTCTCCCCGTGACTGTATCTAAAACCTGTGCAAGAACTTTGCGAAGAAAGTATTGCAGAAAACCTCACCTACTGTAAGGTCCAAGTGGTTTCTCTCCCCCAAAGCACGGAGCCTATAAAGGCAGCCCCTTTGATAATAATACTGTAGGAACTGAACGCAACCTAGAAGAGAGATAAAACATCATTGCATTGGCTATTCAGAAGTATGCTAAACGTATCAAACTATTTTAATAATGTTTAATCCAATAGCACTTCATTACTTCATATTTGCACATTGCATATTTGTATGCCATCTTTATATTCCTACAGTTTAATACTCCAGTATTTACCAAACAGAAGTGTTTTCTTCTAAGCACATAAGATACAAAACTATTTTATACCATGAATTAGCAAGGTAAGATATACTCACTCTGAAATATTGAAAATGCTAAAAATTGACTGCGAAACATTTGATACATGAGTCCATCTGGCCTGAAAGCAAAATATAAAAGAGGTCTATTTGATAAAAAGCATATGATGCAGTGCTCTTGCCCTTGCCCTTCCTCTTCACTACTGAGGCGGATCCCATTAATAAACGAAGCAAGCAGCTGGTACCCAGCCTCCTCCCCCCCATCAGGAGCCCAGAGACAGTGCTACAGCCACACATCACACCACTGGCATGGAGGAAACACTCTCATTGATCAGGTTTCCCCTCTCCAACATGCATAAATGCTTCCCCTTGTTCATTTGCTTATTGCAGTTTTCTCCAGGCAGCAATCAAAGCTGTTCAGCAGCATCTGCATCAAGAATCCAAGCAGTGGAGCAGGGCGTAGTTGTGCTCTTTATCCTAAGGATGGTTCAGGATGGACAGAGGACAGGAGGATCTTCTGCTCCAGCCACTACGTCTCATCCCCTTACAGATTCAGGAGCAGAAACGTTGGTTGTTTTAAAACAAGTTTTAATTGTGAACTAATCAGTTCATGCTAAAGTTGAGACAGGTTGCACAGGGGCCATACATGGGGTGCATCACTGTGTTGTTTGACCAACACCACCACCTGTGGGAAGGTAACTTGCATTTTTGGCTTTATACTTTGTTTGTAATCTGGGTTCAGTAAAGCCACCAAACAGATTCAATTTGTTGTGTTTCCCCTCTAAAGCAAAGTGCTGCTTGTTTGCTTAGTTACAGAGACAGAAATCAGGAGACTTGCAGAGATTTTGCTACCACCAGTGCAAACAGCTTAGGGGTTTGAGTTCCTTTCTTTTGTTTTAAATTGGCAATATAAATACAAACTTGCGGTGTTCTATTTAGCATTGAAAACATCTGTAAGACAAATACGAAGTCTGATGCTTCACCATGTGCCTGTGTGGCCACACTGGATTTAAATGCTCAGATGATGCAAACACTTGAAAACAGGCTTGGAGCATCTCAAACAAGAGAGCACTCACCACGTTAACATCACTCCAGACAGGAACGTGGAAACATAGTGATGAGACACCCACCAGCCTTTGATCCTGAACAGAAAGAACGTGGCAGTTAGATGAGAAACATAGATTTTAGCATTGTAAGTCTGGCTTTACAGATAAAAGAAGTGATCCTGACCTGGGGGAGGAGAAGGGACTGGGAACAAAACAGATGGCCCAACTCAAGCAAAAGAGGTGCTGTGGAACACTGTCCTGGCAATATGGCTTAGCTGGAGGCACAAATCCATGACTGCTGGGGAGAGGCTCAGGACCAGTGCACATCTCACGTGCTCCCACGAGCTCTCCAGCACAGCAAGAAGCAGCAGTCACTGCAGCCCAAGGTACCGCGATGACTAACGATGCACAAGTTTCAGCCCACACACCCTTTTTTATCCATGCCATGCAATTAAGTGACATTTCCAAGCCCTTCCTGTGAGGTGGCTGTTTTGTTTAGACACGAACACTACAGAAAGTTCAGAAAGTAACAGTAAAGTGAGCAAGGGCTGTAGTGAGGTAGAATCAAGAAGTGAAGAGCTGCCTCAGGGATGGTGCTGCTTTGGAAACTAAGCCAACACAATGGGTTAATTTGGGACATTTCCAACCAAAGGTGTGTGACCTCTCACATGAGACAGCACCTGAGCTGCTGTGAACAACCTCTGCGGATGCAGTGAGGCCAGGCTCAGAGGTTTCTCTGCTGGCCTCAGGCAAGTGACTTTACATCCCCATGCTTTGTTTTTTCCTCTTCATCTCTGACCCCACAGCTATCCCCTCTCTGGAAAGCACCCCAAAACAAGACATTACGCCCACAGCAGCCCTGGGAACAGCTGTGCTTGTCAAAGAGACCACTTCATCCCTGCTCCCCACAGTCAACTCCGGGAACTGTGTCCTCAAGCAGCTCCCAGAAATCAGACCATTTTTAAGATTTTTACCCTAGGCCAAGCAGGAAGACCCCATTTTTTCCACTGCACACACCACACTGGTGCCTGCCTCCAGGCACAAACCCCCTCTTGCACTGGGAGTGGGGACCACAAGCATCCAGCCAGCAATGCCAAGACAAGACTCCCAGAAACTCTCCCTCCCATCCCCATTTTGAGGGAATCATGGGAGCAACTGGCTTCAGAGAGGGAAGTGACTGGCTGAAACAAGCCACGAGCTGCTCCCAGCTGATCATTAGAAGTTGACAGTTAATTAGGACAACACTGATTCCTGACACTAACACAAGTGTGGGTCCACCAATGTACAAGCACCACTCCAAGGGAGGGTACCAGTTCTCTGTGCAGTGTTCAGAGGAAGAATGCCTGTGGGAAGCTGGGCTAACCTGATGCTGGCTGCTCAAAAAGTAGTGAGTGAGACAAGCGAGAAGCCCAATTCATTAATGCAACAGGAAGCAAACATTGCAGCAGCAGTCACCACTCACCCATCAGCAAACCGATATGCATGGGAAGAGATGCAATTGCTGGGGTTTCCCTGCACCAGTCTATCTGGATGATGAAAACCAGGGACATGCAGCCATCAGGTTATTGCCAAAAATCTAACAACAGGCTCCAGGTTGCACATAAGTGCACACTCAAGCACCTTCTCAACCCAGATCTAAGGGACATATTCCAGAAGGGATTCACCAGCAGGACCTCACCACCCTGCCTTAGGATACCGCTACTAAGGGTGTCATAAAGAGATGAGGGCTTGGAGTAAGGATCATCTTTCAGTTAACTTCAGGGTTTTACTTGTGTTCCCAGCTCTTTATACAATTATCCCCTAACTGCCAACCTTCCATTGATATGGCTGTGATTTAGTCACACAGGTCACAAGCTATGACCGCGACCTGCAAGGTGGCCACTTTAACCGCAGGGCATAGAGCCAGGACATCAGGTTGGTCCTTTCACCAAAAATACACACATGCTCACACCCCAGAGCACTCCTACCAACTAACCCATAGCTACCAAAAACATCCAATGCTTTGGACCAAGAGCTTATGCACTTTTAGGAACTTCTCCCTCCCCAAACCTCAGGTGGCCACCTCTGCCCTTGGGAGTGACCAGGGAGGGCGACGGAGACAACAGATCCTGCAGAGAGGCATCAGCATCTCAGATTTGCCGGGCTTCAGTGCCAAGATGAATCCTCTTTTATCGCTTGTTTTTCTTTTAAGAACATGTTTTAAATAGTTTTGCAGGTGGCACGGTACCTTGATCCATTGCTAATGAGAATGCTTTCCCGTATCGTCAGCGTGCAGTAATACCACACTAGCAGAAAGTTAAACACTTCATCTGTCACCCTGTTAAACAGAAAAAACACACAGTAAAAGAAAAAAAATCCTGTTATTTACAAAGGCACATTCAAAAAAATCCTTACGTTTTCTTCCCTCCCCTTGGGCAAATGTAAACCTGCCCAAGTGAGGCCATGGACACAAAGCCCCAGTCCTGAACATCCCTGATCCACATGCAGAACTGCACACATCAGCAGCACCACTAGGCTCAGAGTCCTTTCCTCTGGGAAGTGCCCCGTGATATAACACTGCAGATCTTGAGCCGATAAGCAGGTATGCAGAGATGACATTAATTCCTTCTGAAGGAGAGAAAGCACCATGGAAGCAGCGGATGATCCAATTTAGAAAGGCATTTCCAGGCTAATTCAATGAGGAGAGTCCATGAGATCTATATAAAACCAATCAACTAAAAGAGCAGAAGAGCATTACACACTGTGGGGTGGGGGGGGAACCCCAACTTTATTTTGCCATCTGCAAACCTCTGTATTTAGCAGCATCATTCCCTGGTACGATCCTGCATTCACTCAGACCCACAGAGACCTCAGTGGAAGTGCCTGGCTTTGACATCTTCCTGTTTTTTAAACAAAACTGAATAGTGGAAGCTTGTTGGTGCTCAGACACTTGATCACAACCTAAAGATAATGTTTCAGGTCTGATCATCTCATGAAAATCCTCTCTCGTCTTTGCAACAACCCCAGAGCTGCAGCACGGTGCTGGTCCCTGCTGGGACAACCCATGAGTAAAAACAACTGCTCGTTCCCAAGCACAGAATGATGACAAAAAAACCCAACAGATCAGGAAACACAATGTTGGATTTCTCTTAGTTACATGAAACTCCAAAAAGAAGTTAAACAAGGAAAAGCAAATAGCTAAAATACAGGTCCTGCCAGTGTTGAAGAGGTGTAAAAGCTGTCCTGCTGGCCAGCTACTCAAAGCCTAAACATTGCCAGAGCCTGTCTCACTGTCCTTAACAGAAAAGAACAGTTAGTTCAAACCCAGCACATTTTTATTCAAAATACTTGATGATTAAAAGTAAAAATGCAGGCTTACCTGTAGTGGAGAATAAACCTGCAGGCAACAGCCCCAAGCAACAAGATTATTGTCAGATAAAGTTTGAACTTCTCATACTCATCCTTGTAGGCAAACCTGGAAGGGAACAGCTACTGTTTACAGACACACAACTGGTGTTTTACCAGAATGTGGCTTTACTTTTTTCAAACCAGATACACATGCACATGCCAAGCCCCGAGACAAGAGGTTTTGCTTGAAACATTTAGAAAACCAGCAGAGGTGAAAGGCAGCATTCTGCCTGCAGGGTCCGTCTAGACTGCATGACCATTAGGCTGCAAGACAGTGGTTTAAGTGCACAAGAGCTGGTTTCTGGGTTAGCATGGTAAGATTTTAAAAAAAAAAAAAATATATATATCTCCATTTTCCGGAGTACTGTAAACCTAGAAGTCACAATACCATTTTTCACTTTAAAAAAAGAAAAACCTTACAATTAAGGCAACAGGCTGGGCTGGACAGAATCCATCAGAGCTATGTGAAGCATTAGCTTGGCTGCGTATCATGGTCTGACTTGCCCACCCTCGACATTTCATCAGATCTAAATGAAACCCATTCCCATCCCTGGACTTCAGTCCACATCCACAGCTGACCCCAGAGAACCCCAAATTCACACATGTGGAAACACTCACTTACTTTGCTTGGTTACTCAGGAGAGTCACATTCACATTTCCCAGCACCAGATTTAAGTACAAGCTAGAAGACAAAAATCAAGAGCAGACCCAAGTAAGTAATTTTATTTGAACACCACAGGATGATCCAGATCAGAACTGAAGAGACTAACATATCTGCAAAACAATGTTTGCTGTACGTTTTTCATTAAGGCAAAATGGAGAGATAAGACTACAGAAGAGGATTTAAACATAGAGATTGGTCAGCAAAGGTTTATTTCCCTGGTCCCTCTTCTGCACTAAAGAGTAAGGGCAAGATATGTAGTGTGCACTGTCCAAAACCAAAAATAATGGGGAGCAATTGATAGTTTTTGATAGAAACTTCCAAGGGGCTGTAGCATCACACAGCCCTTGACAACTGAAAGAAATCTGTCCTAGCAACCCCACTTGAAGCAAAGTATAACTTAATTTGGTTGAAAACACTATTTAAAAAAAAAATTATTGTGCTGATTTAGTCTTAAAAAAATTAGCATAGAAAAACATCAGTGTGAAACAGTGAATTGCACAATCCCTCATCAACACAAGATCACTTTTATTTTAACAAGAAAAGCTGCACTGCCTACACACAGTGAACTTTCATACACTTCCAGCTAATTAATTCTGTGTACAACTGACACAGCAGCTCAGCAAGAGATTTATGACTAATACAGTTTTACATGTATTTCTTCAACGTGCACATTATCCTTCAGGAACAGCAAACACTTAAAAAACAGCCTTCCTGGAGTGTACACCTCCCCAGCAAAGCATGTACCTGTTCTTCTTCGGCAAGTAGGCTTCCATGTCAAAGAAGGCATTTTGCCTCTCTTTGATCTGGGCAGTGATCTCCTGAATGAGAGCAAACTCTTCAGGACTCGCTCTGGGCTTGCACCTGCAAGAACACAGAAACAAGATATGTTCATGTTTTTATATCCTTTTTATTTAAAGGAAAATAATATTGTAATAAAATCCATGCTGTTAAAAAGGTAACTGCATTAGTTGATGCCACTGCACTTTGCTCCTGTATTTCTGCAGCACCATTTGGCTAACCATGATTTTATTTCACTGCCTGGTTTATGTTGTTGTAGGTTTTCAACCAGCTGGTTTATAAATTAGCTTCTCTTTTGATCTCAGCTCAGTGACAGAATCCCGGACTTTTTCCCTAGCAGATCACTTGGAAAATATTGTGCTTTTTTGCAGGAACTCCTTCTACTTTGGGAACTTTGTGCACAGTTTCAGACATTCCCCTCACAGAAGCTGCAGCTCTTCAGGCACAAAATGTTTCAGGATGTAACAAAACGCACAGCTGATAATTTACTGACAAACTGCGGTTTCACCAATTAATGTAAAACAGAGAGCAGAGCACATCAGCTTTAGCAACCTGTGGTGTTGGAGGTGGGATCAGCTGAGCAGGCAAAGGCAGTTCCCTCCTGTAAATCCATCCAGCAGCAAGTTACACCTTCAGGTTCAAGGACTGATGCTGCTTCTCCAGCACAGCTTAAATAGCAAAGCTCTTCTCACCTAGCAAACACGTGGACCAAAAGTTGTACAATCCTGCAGCGTACAGCACATACTGCAAGGATGCAAACCCACACAGGCTCCCTCAAAGATCTTCTTTATTTACAGGACTCCATCTTTCATGGGGTTAAAAACATTTTACCTGGCTGTGGATGTGACTCAAGAATAATATGGAGCAAAATTACTACCGCAACACAGATTGCGTATTAAAATGCTAAAAATCAAAATATTTCAGCCCTTTGGGAACGAGGAACATCCTATCCCTGCCTCCTCCACCCTCCAGTTCTCCTGTTACCTTTGCAGGCTGTGCTTCAGTTCCCTTAGTGTCTTCTTCTGCCGGTGTATAGAGCTGCTGCAGGCTGTCTGCAAGCTGGTGACTTCTTCAAGTTTCTGCCTGTAAACTTTGTGTGTTTCCTGTAGGAGAAGAGAAAATGATTGGTAGGAAGAGTCCTTCTAAGTTACACATTGCATTTGGTCCTCGTCTCTGAAGGAAGCAATCAAAACCCTGGGGGTTTTGGGAGTCAACAGGCACCCCGGCAAAAAAAACAAGGAAGGGATGATACCAAACTAGTGTAGATCCAACATGGCTTCAATGGACATTAATGAAGCTCCTGCAAAATTAAGAGCATCCTCTGCACTTGTCTCATTTCCTCTAACAAGCTTTCTCACTCAGGAGCTCCTTGTTCTTTCCCACTCTGTAACGAAGCCCTAATCCTCAATTTGATCCCAATCTGCCCTCATCAAACAGCTGGCTAAATCACTGAGCAGGAACTCCTATTTCACAGACAGATTAAATCTGGGGAAAAAAGATTAAGATCCAGAGTGGTGGGAAGACAACACAAAACCAGCCACAAATCCATGCCTGGGGGTTCAGACACCTCCTGGCCACCACTGGCATCTCAATCCCGCATATGCTCAAGCAACCTACTGCCCCATACTCTGGTTTAAGAGTTTAACCGATCCACTCCCTGCGGCATTAGATGCTCCTGGAGCGCAACTACTTTATCACAGCTTGCTGATCCTCTGAAGCCTGCAATGAGTGTTTGACTGGCCATAAGGAAGATGCACTAACCAACTGCAAGCCCATTGAGAGGTGCCTCTGCTCTCACACCCCACCCTCTAGTCAGGAATAAGTGTGCTCTGCTTTTCCACCCTTTGAAATGATTTCACCACCGTCCCTAGCGCAGGAAAACCTCAGGAAGGGCTAACCTGACACCAAGCAACGCTCTCCAGGCAAATTTAAACATCTGTAATAACTTGGAAAGCAGAGTTTGCAGAGTTAGTGCCAAGAGAAGATGCGAATTAAATGGCTATTTGCAGGGCTGCTTTATCTACAGGCACATCAACGACCACAGAAAATCACCACTAGTTTTCCCAGAGCATAAACACATAAACACGGCTGTGAAACCATACAAAACAAATCTTTGCTCTCTTCCTCATTAGGACCTGGCAGTTAGCTGTTCATTACTTACAAGAGCGATGCAAAACAAGCTCCAGTATCCGATTTAAAAACCTTAATAACCAAACTAACCATGTCCAGGCACTGCAGCTCTCATCGCTTCAGGATTGGTTTGGCTTTGCTTAGCACAGGCAGGACTGCAGGGCTCCCTGGATCACACAGTAACTCATTCTGCTTCTCTAGATGTCATGCAAGAGCATCTTTTAAAAGTCTGTTCAAAGTGCATAAGAAGCTTTTTGCCAAAAAAGTGTTCAAGTATTTATTGGAAACACAAACAGGCAAATTAAGAGCTGGTAAATTCTACTGCTAGCCAAAAACATCAGTATAATGACTTCAAAATGACACTGGTATTTAGAAGAGCATAACACTTGCTAGTTGTGAAGTTATTTATCCATCAAAAGAGGTGATTGCTTACAAAGGGAACCCACCAGCAGCAGCAGGGAGCTCAGCACTGCCTTTACATTAAGATGTATAACACACAGGCCAAATACCTGCCTGGGGCCACAGATCTCTCCAAGTAGGAAACAACATGTGCTGAAAAACAAAGGATCCATGCACCAGTGAGAGGAGTATTTTTGCCCCAAGTTGAAGAGCTCCTGATCATGAGACATCAGAGTTGTCTCTGCACCCAAGTTTACAAGTTTTACAGCACCAGAGCCACAACTGTCTAGTGCAACTGAGTGCAACAAGTGCAGCTGTGGCTGCCTGATTTGCCCACAGCCTAAGGGCAGGTGCTGCAACTGCTTGATGTTTTCTGTGGGTACCTTGAGGTCTATTTTCCACTGCACTCGCAACAGCCTTGCTTGTGGTCAGCGCTTGTTCATTTGCAGGACTGAAACCACAATTCACAGTGAGCCCTCGCAGTGCTTCTTCCCAATCAAAATCTAGTTTGCATGCTCACACACAGGGTTTAAATTAACAAGCTGTTGGAGGGCAACTTGGATTTTCCCATGTCTGTGCCCCAAAACTGCAATGCCTTGCAGCCCTGAGCTCTATCTCAGGCTACAGCTTCAGAGATGAGGCACTACCCTAGCAACGCAAAGAGCAAAAATTCAGTGATGTGGCTGGTTAGAGGTGCTTTGTAAACCTGGATGTCCCCCAGGCCCATCTCACAGCTGGTCCCTGCTGCCCTGAGGGGATGCTCTGTGCTGCTGTGCAGCAGCATCAGCCCCTTTGAAGCCCCTCAAGTCAGAGCTCCCCAGACACAAGCATATCCCCAAGTGTGAGCCACCCAGTACTTCAGGGGCAGGAGCTATGACCAGAGTCCAAGGTCCTTCTCTGCAAAAGGAGGACACAGCCCCTGACCCAGAACTTACAATGCAATTATAAAATACGAGACAGGGCAGAAGACCATTGAAACAGAGATCGTTTTGCCCCACAGAGCCAGCATAGCTCTTGACATATAAAAAAAATCTGCCTAACATCAATTTTTTTTCATCCTGGCACTGCATGAAACCCTTTTTGTGGAAGTGACAAAAGTACCTTCGAAAACACCAACAGAGAGCTCCTTTGAAACGTGACCAGCAGCTCACATGTGTCCCCAAACCAGCATTTCCAGCCAGAGACAAGAGTCAGACCAGCCAAAAAGAGTGCAGGAGGAGGGTGATGCGGGTGCAGAGGAGGGTCAAGCTGCTGCCGGGAAAACCATCCTCCTCAATAGCAAGAGATGCCGCCAGCGTGTCCAAAAAGCCACGTGCAAGAGCAAGCATGCATGGACACCCCACATCGAAGTACTTTCTTACTGAAGAGTTGGGTTTCTACCCCAACACATCACAGTTTGACTTGATTCCAGTTCAGAAGCACAGAGCCTTCCTCCAAAGCACATTTAAGCACCACAAGCATCTCACAGAGCTGGAGCAGAGTCACATCTGCAGGACAGCTCCCTGTTCCCATCTCCTGCAACGTCTCCTTCCAATATAAACTCTGCTTGTGATAACGGATGTTATTCCAGCTTTTCACCTCTACAGTACTAACCACAGGGCAACGATACCTTGTGCCACCAGCGGCTGCCACCCCACCAAGCAGCATTTCTACTTTTCTTTTACGGACAAGGAAACTGAGGCAGGGATAAGCCATTGACATTTTCCTGTGATTTAGGTCAGATTTAAGCAGCACGCTCAGAGAGAAAGCCAGTTGGCGCACACACCAAACAGGTGATCAACAAAACCACACCAGCTGGCGCTCCCCCCCCAACACCCAACCACCACCTTTCCTTCTGTTAACAAGCGTACAACCTGAATTGACTTTTAATTAAGACAAGCTATATCTAGAAATCACACTTTTTTTTCTTTTTGCAGAGCACGTTCTGTTTAAGAGCCCAAAAGGGGCTAACGGGCATGCAGAGCGAGAACAGCCGGTTGTGTTTTAAAACTAGCTTCAAGATTTAAAGGATGTGTATAGGCGCAGCATTGGTGACGTATGGGGAAGGGAAGGTTTCTGAAGGTAAAAGCATTTTGCAAAAAGAGCTCTCAGCTCCTGCTCCGAGGCCTTTCTGTCTCTCAGTGCACTTTTATGAGATGGATAAACTGCACTTGAACCCCTCGTACCCCACCACAGGAAATTCAAATCCATTCAGGAGCTGCTAGCAGCCACAGGCGCTACCTGTATTGCAATTTGCGCCATGCCACGGGCGCCCAAAAACACCAGGTCCCCCTTTTGCATCCTTGCTCCGGTGGCAGGAACGGCGTCCCCGTGTTCCCTCAGGTGCCTCACCACAGATATCGCGGTTTGGTTGGGACGTCCCACGGGGGTGCACATCAGGCGTTTCTGGGGTGCCGGACAAGGATTGCGCATCCACGCACAACCCTGCTTCACGCACGCACCCCGGGCCTGCAGCGAAGGCGTCGTACACGCGTGGCCCTGCCCGGCGCAGCCCACCCGGGGCCTTCCCTCGGCGTAGCGGCGAGGGGGAGGGGGGTGGTGGTGGTGAGCCTTCCCGCACCCGTGGAAGCTCCTTGCGGAGGCTGCCCCAAGGACCGGCAAGGGGTCAGCCGTAGGGTGTGCACCCCGCTCCTGCGCGGCCCCCTCCCCGCCTATGTAGTGATGGGGCGGGGGGATCCAGGTGCCGTCCCCCGCCTCACGCACCAAAGCCGGGGCAGGCAGCGAAGCAGCCCCCGCCGGCCCTTCCCGCCTCACCTGGAGCTGCCGGAACTCCTCCTCCAGCTCCCGCCACTCGCCGCGGCAGCGCTCCAGCTGCGCCCTCATGGCGCGGCGCGAGCCCGCCCGGTGACCGGCGGTTAAACCGGCGGCGGCGCGAGCCCCGGCACCCGGCGGGTGGGGGGCGGGCGGGCCACGTGCGCCCCTGACGTCATCGCGCGCGGGGCCGGGCGCGGCGTACCGCGGGCGGTGCGCACCACCCCCACGGCGTCGCCCCGCCCCGCCTGAGGCGGCGGCTCCGCCCCGGCCGCCGTCTCTCCTGGGGGGGAGGGTATTCCCCCCGCGCCTTTCGTGTATTCGTGTCGTGGCTGAGCCTGAAGCGCCCCGTGGGGCTGGGGAGCCGGGGGGGGGGCGGCGATAAAACCCGAAATCTGTCTGTGTGGCGGCTGGCGGAGCCGCCGTGCAGCGGGGACCGTCTCCTCAGAGCGACTGTCCCCTCAGGTACCATCCCCTCAGGTACCGTCCCCTCAGAGCGACTGTCCCCTCAGGTACCGTCCCCTCAGAGCGATTGTCCCCTCAGAGCGACTGTCCCCTCAGGTACCGTCCCCTCAGAGCGACCGTCCCCTCAGGTACCATCCCCTCAGCTACCGTCCCCTCAGAGCGACTGTCCCCTCAGAGCGACTGTCCCCTCAGGTATCATCCCCTCAGGTACCGTCCTCTCAGAGCGACTGTCCCCTCAGGTACCGTCCCCTCAGAGCGACCGTCCCCTCAGGTACCATCCCCTCAGGTACCGTCCCCTCAGAGCGACCCGCTGGCTGAGGTGACCGCGCACACCTCGGCTGAGGCAGCCCAGCCCTGCAGCTGCCTGAGTCCAGGGCACAGCGAGTCGCTAATACGAGGAAGAGACAACGATGAGACGATTCCTCATCTTTTTTTTTTTTTTTTTTAATTATTTGAATAATAACCCGCCTGGCAGCAGGACTGGCAAACTGGGAGCGGGGGCCTGGTGGCCTCTGGGCTGTACAAGCGCAATAGCGCATGGCCCTGCTCCGAGGAGCTGACGGTGAGAGCAATGCACAGGGCAGGGTGTGATGCATGGGGGGGTGGCAAAGGCTGTAAATGTTGGTGATGCGCTTCTCGGAACGTGGGTTCCTTGCGAAAGGGTGGAAACAGGCGAAGTGGAAGAAAAAAGGAAGGGAAAGGAAGTTATTAAAAAAAAAAAAAAAAGGCATAAGGGGAAGGGAGGTGTGAAACCAAATTAAGAACTTGAGTACAGTGTTGCTTTTTCACAAAAAATATCTGTAGGATCCTGTTTCCTTGGATTTGGCACAACTAAAAACATTTGGTGTAGAGACCCTTCTCACTGTGCATGCTGCCCCTGGTCCTTTTCTAGGTCTATATTTGTGCTCTCTGCTCATTTTATGCCCTTTTTGTATGTTCTTTTCATAAGTGTGTGGGTGGACACCTGAAATGCAATCGATGACCTGCTGCCTGCCTCTGCACTCGGTTTCCAGAGAAACCTGCTCAGAACTTGCAGTCATTGGGGGTTTCTGCTGATTTAAAAATGACCAACCACAGGGACATTGCCTTGTCCCTTCAGCTCCTCCAATGAGGTCCACAATTGTCCAGAGATCAAACACACGTGTTGTGGCAGGCCTTGATAATCCTGAAGTAGAATAATTAATAAATGTAGTATAAATGCCTTAGGAGTTTCTTAAGTCTGTATTAAATTTTGCCCGGATTTTATCCACAATCCTGTGTAATGGGACCTTATGTTACAGGAAGCCTGCAGGATTTTGGATTACTGAGGAAAAATCGCATCTTGGATCACAGCTTTAATTCTGCGCTGGATACATGCTGAAACATTCCTCGTTCACTACAAGGTTGGAGTATTCCCTACCAGAAAAATTTCCCTTTATTTTCCTTTCCCACATGAAAATAATCCCTACACCTTTGCAGTTACTCTGTTGTCTCAGCTCTGTTTATCACAGAGCCACCCCAAAGATGCAGCTGCATTTGTTTAGGGCTTGCTCTGTTCATTACATCACACTCTGAACTGAGCAAAGCAAGCCCTAAACAAATGCAGCTGCATCTTGCCCCTTCCTGCTCAGGGGACACTGGGGTGCTGACACCCTCCTGCAGACCTGGGTGAACCCAGGCCAGAGGGTGCCAGCGTCCTTGGCAGGTCGCAGGGTGTTCAGTGAGGTTGGCAGAGGTCAGTGGATCCAAAAAGCGAGGGCACTGCTGCCAGCGGTTGTGGGTTTGAGCCTCAGGTGTGTTTTGCACACAGACAGAGCAAATACCGCTCTTTGCACTGCTAGTGGGAACAGTGAGTTTAAGAGCGTGTGGTTCTGTGGATGTTCCCTTATTTCCTTTAAGTAAAAACACTTCACCATTTATAGGACTGGTGATGTCAATCCTAACATTCAAGAAGAGTTACTTACAGAATATATCCTAAATTTGAAATAACCCTTAAAACTGTTCATTTCACCCCCAGGCTATAAGCCTCAAAAGAACAGAAGCAAGCTCTTAATATCACTCGTAGATATTTGCCCGGGGCTGTAATTCTGCAGCCTGATGACATGTCTGTTAGGGCCGTGGTCTGTGTTTCTGCATGTGCTGTTCGTACAGAAGTAGGAAGTGTTGTGCATTTCCCACTCAGAGCCATTCTGACCTGGAGCACCCTCCCACTGAGGGATCACCAGACCTTTATTCAAAACTTCCCTACACCTCTTGACAAGGAACAATTCTTATGCATATTGAGGCTGTGTATAATTATAACTTCAAAAGATTTATTTCAAGATCTTTTAACTAAAACATGGTAATCATTTATAATAATTCAAGAGATTTATATTTTCTTTAAAACAGAAAATATGAAATATTTTAATTAAACACAAATGATGTGAATGTAGCACATCTGGCTGTACAGTTGAATCTAGCAGAATTTAAGGTTGCACTCCTACAAAAAATTTCAAAATTACCTATAATGTCTTTCCACTTCTTGGGAGATGGTATAGCCAAATTTATCCTCCACCTTCACACTGTGATCTGCGTGTTTTAAAACAATATTGAGGGTCCTGCAAAGCATTCCACAGTTGTGCTGTAAATAATTCTCAGCTTTGTTTAACTTCACTAATTAACATCACAACTCTCCCTTTGAACAGCCTTGTTGAAGGTAGTTAAGTATAGACAATTAGCTGTAAATCTACAGCAAAAGGAACTCCTGGGGAGAGGGTATCTCCTAAGTGTCAGCTTCAAGGACTTCAACTTTGTATGACTATCTAGGTGCTTGAACATTTCAGATAACCTAGGGTTCCTGTTTTAGGTTGTTTTGATGTAAAACCAACTTGTTTTTTATCTTGAGAACTGCTTCCAGCAAAAAGTAGGGAAGAATTTTAAAGAAATGCTTTCCCACAAGGCTGCCTCTTAAGCCAAAATCAACCTGTGAAGTTTACATTTCAAACCTTTCACTTCAATCCTTCCTAAATCCTGCTACTAATAATTCTTAAAAACAGAACGGTGGGGAACCTCCTTCAGCACTGCACCCACTCTGATCATCCAGCTAAACCCCGCACATGCTTGGTCTGAGTCCAAGACCCTCCCACCTCTTCCTCTGGCTTTTCTTTTGAATTATAGCAGCAATAAAACACATATCTGAGCATCCTACTTCCACAGTATGTTGTTGTCACATTCTGCACCTTTAAAGAATTCCAACATATGTTTCTCTAAATGTTTTTTTCTATTTATTCTACAAAGTTCCCAGAATAAACTTGTATTATTGATTCTGACAGTTTTCAGTTGGTTTGGGCATTTCACTTGGGTGATTCCCCAAGCTTTGTGAGAGCAAACTCAGCTTGGAGCAGCTGTCTCCTTTCATTGCAAAAATGATTGGTTTCAGATGTAGAATGCTGAGGTCCTTTGGCTTTATTTAATTAAAAAAAAAATCTTACTCTCTAAACTGAAAAAAAAATAAAGCACGTCATATGTCATGGGACCTTGCTCCACAAATGGCATGTTCCTGGGCATTTTACTCATGCATCCTTCCATTGTTTGGTTTGCTCTTCGATGTGTCTCTAATAGTGGAATGACAGTTTTTAAATAAAATTTTAGTTCAGCTGAGTCAAAAGAACTTTCTGATAAAGCTGCATCAGCGTCTTTTCAAGATGGTCTAATTTTGCCTTTCATGTGAGAAGACTACACTTACATTTATCCACTTGATACACACACTTGGAATACAAAAAGGTACAGAATTATAATAATGAGTGACAAAATAATAAAGTATCATTCAGTTGTTTGTACCTGGACTAAGAAAACTGTAGATGGGAATCACACACAGCTTCTTCCCAAATAGATGGTTCTGTGAAGCCTCTTCTTGGTGGGGCCAGGAGGGCCTGTGAGGGCAGCCAGTGCTGATAACCCACTCAGGCACCACCAAGGTAAAATAACAAACCCACGGAGACTGGGAGCAGAAGGATTTAAAATAAGTGACCCAGAAACAGAGGCATCAACAAGTGTTTCCCTCCATCTCATTCAGATATAGAGGTTTTCACAGAGGCAGTTTTTGATCCAAATTTCTGAATTTTAATTTGTTGCTAAATTATTGTAATTCTTTTAAGGTCTTTATTGCCTCTAAAATGGTTTTAAATATATATTGAGTCTCAAATATGTATATAACTTCTGCTTAGGAAAAGCTGTGGTTAGGTGATGCATAGTTTGGACTTCCAGTTCAAAAACCTCAGACAACCTATGCCGTTTAAAAATAACCAAGGGAAACTGTCTGAGTTAGCTAATTATTTTAATTGACAAATTCTCAGTTAACTGCAGTGCAATATAGGGGCTGAAATACTCAAAATAATTAATACTTTTCCAGAAGGAACTAGTTCTGGTTGTAATTTAAGGCTGTAGGTTTTGGGCTGCAATTAGCATTTTTTCTTCTCCCTCATGGATTTCTCGCATTTCTTCCACAAATGCCTGTCCCCCACCCAACCCCCTACAACTGGCCACAGTAAAACACAGGAGTGATTGTCTTTGGTAATTCTTAGTCTGTGCCCCAAACTGGAAGGCGTTTACATGAGTGAGTGTGAATAAATCCTTCCCAAACATCTTCATCTCATTTTTAATAACAGGAATTATTTTCTCTTCTATAAGTATTTCCTAACCTGTTCAACTTCCATAGTTTTCTGTTTGTTTTTCCTGCTTAAAGGGGAATCTGTAAGTTCCGTCTCTCTTACATCCCTGGATTTAGGGGATGCAGTCAGGGAGGAGATGCTGGGACCTGCTTACCAGTGGCTGCCGTCTTCCCAGTTCATCTAATACAGCACCAGGAATTCTGCATTTGTATTTTCCGTGGTACAGATCTCCCTCCATCATTTCCACGCCACCTTGCATGTTGGATGTGGAGCACCTCTGCCTTCCCTCCAGCTTGTTTTCCTTCTCTACCTGATTTCCCAGGTGTTGCCTCCACCGCTCCATCACCCTCATGTGTGTCACAGAAAATGGAGTGTTCACCTTCAGTCATGTTTGCACTTGGAGTAAGTCCAAGGAGGAGGGATTTTTCTCCCCTGTCCACACCAACCATGGCAGAGACAGTCCTGGGTGAAACAGCTTTACAGTTTCACTATTTGCTGTATTCCTTGGTACTCGCTGGTGCTCACCATCAAACCTGAAAGATCCTTCCCTGCTTGCAGTTGAAAATCACGCATTACCCAGTAGTCACCATCCCCTCACACCCTCTTCTGTCCACACAGCATTTAAGCGCCTTCAATGCTACAGACATTGAAGATGGCAGACAAACAGTTATCAGGCAACAAACAGTTAGACAAGACAGAGCTGTATCTAACCTCTGCAGAGGCTGGCACTTTATTTCAACCCAAAGTTCCCCAACTACCTCAAAATTTTATTAGCATTCAGGCTGCAGTATTTTGCGTGGAAAATGTGGTAAAAGGGTGAGAATAAACAAATGAGTTTGGCTCATGGGAGTGAGAGGAGAACTTTGGTTTTATATGTGAAATGTGCATGGTTAAGTACCTGTTAGGGAAGATTATCACAGACATCCAAAAGGCCATAATGGCAATCCCTGCTCTGGGTGGCTGTGGAAGAAATGTAATGGATGAGGGAATTAGTGTCAGGTTTATTCAGATTTCTCTTTTAAGACCTCTGATGTGCATGTTCTCCTTTTTCTTCTAACATTTGCAAAGCCCATTCATCTGTTACCCATCAGTACTGCAATCAGTGCTTTCATTTCCAGCCTTCTGCTGCTGTGCACATTAAAAAAAAAAAAAACAAAAAACCAAAAAAAAACAGAGGTGAAGCACTTGTTGCTTATCAGCATTTTAAATCCTGCTGGATAATCCTCAACTTGAAGACATGTAGCTCCACAGAGCAACGTGCACTCAGCAGCTCTGCGGAGCAGCCTGGCTCCATCGCTCTTGCTCACTGTGGGGCATGCAGGGTGAGCCCCCATCCCCCCCCCTTCTCCCTCCGCTCTTGGTCCTCCAGTTCTCCTCACTGCGCTCCCATCACCCTTCGCGCAGGAGTTTGGCAGAGTTGCTATGACGACCCTGCCAATGCAGCCGGCAGCACCCAGCCGTCACTGGGCACAGGTTGGTGTCTGCGGAGTGGCTTTTGGGGCAGGGGGTGGCAGGAGAGTGGTGGAACAAATCTGAGGCTGTTTTGCAAACCGAGCGTGTGGGCTTTCCCCACCGTCTGCTCCCACCGCTGCTCTGGCACCCTGAACATCCTGCCGTGGGTGTCAAGGTAGAGCCAGGGATGGCTTGGCTGCTTCGGAGGGTGCCAGCAAAGGGACCACAGCACAGGGCAGCGCTGTGGGGCAGGAGTCAATGCAAGGGGTGAACTCACACAGGGCAAACTCAGAGCTGGGTGATGGTCAGGCAGGGTGCTGCAGGGCAGGCAGAGTGGGTGTGGAGGTCACACAATGGGATGCGGTGCAGTGGTAGGCAGGGGGGGCTGCCAGGGCCAGCCAGCAGCCCCTCCTCTGCAGCCAGGTGTATTTTCCACCTTGCTCTTCATTAAGTTAAGGTGTAAGACTGCAAAAAAAGTATAGTTGTAAATAAATTGCATTGCTCCAAAAGTCTGTGAAGAGCCAGGATAAAAAATGGGCTTCCTGTAGGGCCATGCAAACTAAAGGTGGGTTTTACTAGTGACCTGACAAAACTCCAAGGTGAGAGCAGAGACCAGTGTCTGGAGGCTCTGGGATTCTGAAAGATCTTCATCCCAAGCACAGCAGCTGTGGCAGAGTTGCATGGGAGCAGCAGCCTCTAGCCGTCAGCACCGAGAGCTGCAGCCAGAGCGGTTCCCCACCACCCGCCTCTTGCTGCCAGCCTCCCTCCGCCCTTGTAGAACATGGCTAAAAACATCGAGGGCAGCAAATACCAACTATGTGAACATTAAGCAAACCTGGGATGGCTGTTGGAAATTTGGAAGGGAATTCAGCAAAAAAGTTGGCTCCTGTTGGCCAGTGTTATGCCAGATGCTCCAGGCGGGCTGTGCCTTGGAGGGGCAAGCAGATGGCAGGGTTCTGGGGCTGCTGCCGCAGCTGGGAATCCTCTCTGGGCTTTTTAAATCCTAAACTTTGAGATAAAGAATTGGTCAGATGTGGTAACGGGACGGTGACATCCCTTCTTGGCCATGAGCTGCTTGGAGGCCATGGCCAGTGTCAGGGTGGGTGCATGTAGCTGTAGCTCAGCTCTTCAGCTCCCCCAGCAAGGGGAGGACAGATGTGAGCCAGCAACGTGTGGCTCTGTGTCCTGCAAACCCCCCCAGCCCTTGGCAAATATTGGCAAGAACCCCTCCAGGGTCTGCAGCCCCCAAAGGCAAGGAACTCAGTAGCTGTGGTGTATCCTGGATTTGCATTGCAGAAAAAGCATCCTCTGCAGCGGGCTGTGACTCTGTCATACTGAGGGACAGATCCTGCCCTCAGTGTCCTCAAACCAAAATGCTCCCGGGTGGGTGGCATAGCCAGGGGACTCCAGCTGCTAAATCCTCCAGACAACCCTGTCCCCAAAACATCTGCTTCAAGAGTTGGCAACTTGGTGGTCTTCACCTTCCCCCTGCTTTCCAGCCCCTCTCCTCCCACTGCGGCCTGGCAGGAACCCCTGCCCCTCCCTGGGTCCGAGCTCACAATGCAGTGCCCGGGCAGGTCCCCCAGCTCTGCCTGTGCCCCCCTGGCCCTGCCTGCACTCCCCTAGCCCTGCCCGTGCTCCCCACAGCCTTACGGTAAGGAGCCTCATGGGACAAGCACTACACAACACACCTGCCTTTTGGGGGGCAGGGCTCATCATGGGCACAGAAGTATTTCTTTTTAGCACTTATATCCCCCCAAGTAGCTGTTGAATGGCCATTTCCCACAGCTACATGGAGAACAGAGGATGAACTAGCTATATTTTCTTAGTTATAACTTCTAGGTTTTATTCCCTAGCAAGGACTCAAAGCACCTTCTTTTCCCAATCTCCACGCCTTCCCCCACGCTGGGCTCCCTGGCACCTGCAGCACAGCAAAAGCCAGAGCTCTGCTCTGCCAAGAAGGGAGATGCAGCAAAATCACTCGATCCAGCGGATCAGGACAGAAGAGGGAGCCCAGGAGACAAAATCAAAGAGCATCCCACCCACTCCAGCCAAGCTCTGGATGTTAACAGCATTCATAGAAACTTGCTCTTTGTTTCTACACCCACCTTTTGGCGTCTATTTATGGTTTATAGGAGACTACTCTCACCTCTGTGTCTGTGCTGGCATTCCCACTGCACTGAACAGTGAACCATTCCACCAGCCATGCCCAGAAATCACCACCCTGCTGCACTCCACCATTGTCCTCCCTGTGTTAATGAGCCAAAACACTGTCTTCTCCATCCTCTTCCCCGACGCTCATCCTTTCCCTCCAGACCTGACACCCGAATCACCCCCCCACTGTGCCTGACACACCCTGCCTGCTATTCATGCTTTAAAACCTGTGTCACTTTGGAAGCCACCTCCTCTGTGGCTTGTTTGACTGACGAGTGCTTGTCCTGCCCTGGGAAAGTCTGCAACCTCCTGGTAGATAGAAACGTTGTGGTTTCGACCCCCTTTTATCAAGAAACCTGCAGAACTGATATTTTTAGCAGTAAAGGAGCCTGAGCTGTGTTACTGCTGGGCGTATGAAATGTCCCAGCTTCCGGTGTGCCCCAGGGACACCGGCCAACTCTCTGACCCGCTCCATCTTGTGAATGCTTTCCAATGTCCTGAGACATTTCCTAGCAAACAATTTTTTGATGTGCCTAAATGTCTGCTCCTGCCTCGCGCAGAGCTGGCGATAGAGCGGCCGTGGGAAGGAGCCTGGCAAGGTTTCAGCTGTACAGAGAAGGGGCTGCCTTACTTGGTGCTCCCCAAAACCTCTGGCAGGTGCAGAGACCAATGCCCACCACAGACCTGACCTCCTAAGAGTTATTTAACATTTCCTAACAGGCCAGGCTATACTGTGAGCCTATTTTCAGATATTGCTGGCTTGTACTTCAGTATCTTTAGGTACCTTCCATTTGTTAAATCTCTATTTTACCCCTCCAAAGCCAGACATCAATTACTGACTTGGGTGCCTATTAAAACATAGCTCACAAATAGACTGTTCTGCCAGTACCTGCCTTAGTAATTTCTCTCTAATTTATTGCTGACAATTGTTTGTTTTCCTCTCCAGCCGTGAACAATATGCCTATTGTAAAATACCCCAGGGCTACAGAGCCTCTCTGGCATGAATGGGACAGGAAAGCACAGAAATGTGGATTAAGACACACAGTCTATGCAGTAAATGGGGATCAGTATACCGGGGAATGGCTGGACAACTTGAAACATGGTAAGATGACCATTTTGAGAAAAAGTACCAATTTAAATGTCTTTACAAAAGTTCCTAGGGGCAGGGAGCAGTCAGTGGTTGTATATGCTCCTGAAAGACCATTCATTTATGTATGACTACATATATATAATGTCTTTGATATATGTCATGCAAAAATGTGCTCAAACATATTTCTAATGGGTAACTTGAAGAGCTTTTGCATGCACTCAGGGGCAATATCCTGAGATTTCTAGATTATAGATGTTTAAAAATCCACTATAAACAGCAAACTGCAGTCAGCTTCATGCACTGGGATGTGCCCTGGCTGCACAGTCCCTGGAAATCTCTTGGCTCCTGACTTGGCTTCAGAAATACTAATTTATTCTTGAGTTGTGGTGGGTGCTGTGGGAGACAGAGCAAGGGAAGGAGACCCTGACTGAGCCCTGAGCAGCCAGAGCAGCACAGGCTTGTTTACAAGCAGTAAACCAAGGTTTGGAAAGTTTTAAGTGTGTTCAGCAAAGGCCACACAGGAAGCCCCTGATCAAGATTAACGATGCATCTGACTCGGGAAGCTAAACTGAACCCCAGACATAAACCTGCCTCAGTGCAGGGAGCGCTGTCTCGCCTGGGATAGAGCTGGGAGGCAGCCCCGTAAATCCTTCTCCTAACAACCGCGATGGTCTCCCTGTTGTTCCTCTTGTTTGTTAAACAGGTAAAGGCATGCAGGTATGGAAACACACTGGAGCTATTTATAGCGGTGACTGGAAGTTTGGGAATCGGGATGGTTATGGCTCATACAGCATTCCTGACTCTGTGACCAAGGAATACAAGAAGGTGTACGTAGGCTGGTGGAAAAACAACCAAAAATGCGTAAGTGTGATTTCCTGCACCTGCCAGTGGAAAGACACCGTACCATAAAACATGGGAAAGATTTGGGTACATACACACAAAAAGATCACTTAAAATACTAATTTCTCCAATACTGAGGCTGAATTTAAGAGGTCTGGGGAAACAAATAGGTGGAATAAGAAAACGAAAGCAAGAGCAAAAGCTCTGGTATTTTAGCCCTCTCCCCCTGCCCTCCCCAACCTTGCTGCTCCTGTTGTTACTCACTTCTTCATGTCAGATGCTGCAGGAGCTGCACCATGTCCCATGGCCGGCAGTAGGGAAACAGCAGTGTGAGTCCAGGCAGAAGCTACAGGAACAGACTTTCCTCCAGGCTTGGGTTCCCTTTAAATCTTAGTCTAAACCTGCAGAAAGCCCAGCAAGCTTCAAGAGTAAAAATTCATCATTCATAAAAAGTGTGGCTGAGAACATGCTGTCACCTGCCGTCTCCCCACTGGAGAGGGACTCATCCCACCTATCCACTGGTGACCGAGTCCTGACCTCCCCCCAGCTACTGCAGAGCAGCGATTGTTGCTCGGACTCGCCTGCAACTTGGCCGAGCAGGACGAGAGGTTTCATATCCTGTGTCTTAATCCTCCCCACCCATCCCTTTCATTCCTCTCATCCTTGAAGCAGTCAGAGGAACCTGTATTATAAGCACTGTAGGAAAATGTACCTTCTTCTGGGAGTTTTACAGCATATTAGACAAATAACATGAGTTCTTTTGGAAGTTAAGCCTGTCACATAAATCACTGTTTTTTCTAAAGGGAACATAATGAGGAAGTCATCTGGTAAAAATGACTGCAATCTTATGTGCAAAATCCTTGTAGGAATGTTTTCTGATCTGCCAACGGAAACCTTGTGTTCGCCTTTGTGTCTGCTCTTAAATTAAATTAATAGCCTCTTACGCTTCTAATTGGCATGTGGCTCGATGACTCCAGTCTCTCAGAGAGAGCTTCCCCTCCCGTTCTTTGAGGATATATTTTGGATGATTGAGCTTTGGTGAAAGATTTATAATGACATCCAAATATCACTGGGGTTGTTTTTATCTTCTGCAAAAGCCTCCCGTTTACATAAATGCAGTTTAATAAAATTAATGCTCATCAAAATCAGTTATTTACAGAATTTATTTTATTTTTTTGCTCAGAGACAAATTAACGCTTTATTCCTATTGGAAAACTCATTAATAATATGTAAATATTTCTTACTGGTATCACTCTCCAGTATAGGGAGTACCTCTGGACTTTTCTTAATGGGAAATATAAGACAAACACCTCCTGGGGTCCCCGGATTGCACACACCCAGTGGTATTAGTTCAGAAGTTCACCAACCAAACCGACATCGAGCCTGAGAAGGGAAGGAAAGAGCAGAGACGACCCCGTGTCAGAGCTCACCCACCCTGCTGGGGTGACGCCCGCTGCCTCGGGAGCCTGGCCCAGCGCCCAGCTGCGGGGAGGCACGCGTGGCATCGCTGCCTGCTGGTCTCACTGCAGGGAGCCTTCAGCACTGCCTGTATTTTCTCGTGAAGGAGGAAGGAAGCAAGGCAAGAGGCTGTCTAGGACATTACCTCTTTGTGGGTGTGGATGGAGAAGGCAAAACCGTTTCCATGGTTAGCATCACTTGGAGACCTTTGGTCTGCCCAGGGACAAGGGAAGGAGTTGTTCCACTTCGGACACACGGAGCTGTATGAAGCATCAGCAGGGTGGAAAGGCATGAAATCCCCACATTGAGACAGGTCTAAATCTTTAATGCTGCTTATCCCCAGGCAGGTTTATATACTAGTAAAATCCCCTTTTAGCTAAATATTAGCAGCAATCATACCAATAACACACAGATATAAAGCTGAGGTTTTGTCATGGGAATAAAGTCATTTGCCAAAAAAAATCCTGTACCACCACCTCTCATTTCCTTCAACACAAGAACAGCCACTGAGCTGGGCTGCCAGCAGCCACATGAGAGTAATAAGCAAAGGAGTATCCTGTCAAGAAAGTAATGTCCCAAAATTGAATACTGACCCCTTTTAATGCAGAAACTCCTAACTGGCCATCTCTATGCTGCCCTCCAGGGCTATGGGCTGATGTTCTATCCCAGCGGGGAGCGCTATGAGGGCGAGTGGAGCAGAGGGCTGCGGAGCGGCTGGGGACGGATGTACTACCAGGACGGCTCCATCTACGAGGGGCAGTGGCTGGAGGACCAGCCCGGTGGGCAGGGGATGCTGCGGCTTCGTAAGTACTGGCCACCCTTGCCTGAGGCATCTGCCTGCCCCCCTTCAAGGTATCTGGTGTCAGTGCTGCTCTCCAGATGCCTCTGCCATCCAGATTCCTGGATGCTACATCGCATCTCCCGCTGCAGCCTTGCGTCAGGGTTGCAGGTGCTCCCCTGTGTCGTCCCTCCCCTCTGGGTTTGGGGCTGGAGGCAGCACTGGCTGTGCAAGGGCCAGCGTTGTGCTGCTCAAGCTCACATGCATGAAAGCTTATTTTTGCTGTGATTTACATTTAAATGACTAAGATGGTTAGGGTTAGAGATAATATACTATTGGGTCAGAGAAGAGCAAATCTCTCTTTTCAAGCCAGGCACTTTGCCATACATACTTTCTAACTGATGCATACCAAAGAGGAGTCCAGTTTCCATCACAGGAAAAAAAAAGACAAAGTTTTCTTTATGAGTTCACTCCATCCCCTCTCTTACTTCTGATACTGACTCATGTTGAGTGAACACAGGGGTTTCATTAGTACATGATCCCTTCCCAGAAATAACACTAAGCACATCACAGATTGGGAATGTTGGGGGCAATCACATCATAAAAGTAGAAATTTTGATTTTTTTCCCCGTATTTTTCTTGGAGTTCAACACATTTTTTCCCCAAAGTCAAGAATCCCAATCCTTTGCAGTACAAGCCACTGCACTCCAAGAACATTTGAAGAAATATTATCTCCATTTTATTTTTCATCTATTCTATTTTTTTGCTTGAAAGTAATCTCAAGGCTAGTAATTAGCTAAGCAAAGCAGCTGGGAGGAACAAGCTGCACACCACATGCACGACTGTGCTCTCTCTGCTGACTGTGAAGTCACTTTGGAACGATGGCTCATCTGGATGAAATCAGCACCCGCTTCCAGGGGTAACTCCTTCCACTGATCTGCTTCGTTCCCATTGAAGTCATTGTTGGTTATAAACTAACAGCCCCTGCGGGCTGAGCTGTGGCTGATGCACCGTTTCAGAGCCCGGTTGCCTCCAGCGTAGCCTGCAACTGTGAGCTGGATTTCTTTTGGTTAAAATTAGTCAGAGCAATTATTTCATACCCATAAGCTTAATGTATTCAGCTCAGCCACTGGAAGTGTGCCCACGTGCCGGCAGCTTTGCGATGGTGAAAGAAAAGGAGTTCTTCAGTGGAGGTCACGATGAGCTGCAGCTCAAGATTAAATTGCTTGTAGTGGCAGCATGCCCGGCGAGGGCGAGCTTGGCTGGGAGCACCGCGCTGATTTGCCGCCTCTGCTACAGCCCAGTGCCGAACGGCTTTTAAACCAGAGCATTGCATGTCTGCAGAGATCTGTTGTGAACAACACAGCCTCTCCCATGCTCCGGGAGGAGAGCGGGTGGGAGCAGCCAGGTGCCGCGGTGCAGCCAGGGCGTTTGATGACCCCTCCATCACAGCCGGCTCTGTGATTTCGGTGGTTTCTGAGTTGTCAGTGGCTGGAGAGCAGAAACCGAGCTGCTCCCACCCGTGGGCAGGGCAGGGCGGTGGTGCAGATAAGCACAGCGCCAGATGCCAGCTGAAGATAACCACTGCCAGGGCTCCAACCTGTACACCAGGCCCTGCCTGAAGAGCCTGGCAGCCCACGCTCCAGAGGAGCATTTTTGGGTTGTTTTTTTTTTTTTTTTCCCTTCTTCTTCCCATACAATATTCGGGCAGTCCCCAGCTCCCTCTGGGGCAGCATGTGGGGTGCCCTGGTATTTCAGCCACCTCTTGCTACAAAGAATGGCAGAATTTGGCTGAGACCCAAAGATACTTCCACTAAGTAACTTGGTCAGAAACCCCCATGGGTTTTGGCTTAAAACCACTATATATAAGAAGAGGGGACAGCAGAGGACTCTCCTGGCAAGAGCAGGGTGGCCTGGATGTATCCCAGCCCCAACATCACGGTGGGTATGATGCCCCTTCTCAACCACCATCCCTGGATGAGGCTGCACTCTTGCCCTCGCAGCTTTGCTTTCCCTGTTGGTGATGGACAGATGGATTCCTGGAGAGCCGCCCAGAGCCCAAAAAAACCTCTCTCAATTTGCAGAAAAACACTGAGAGATGCGATACAGCTGGAAAAACAGTCTGTAACTGATTGCCTGAACCATTTAGACACAGCAATTCTTGCCCTGTAATTCATTGAGGAAAAACTTAACTACAAGTATTATTTGAAAGCAAGATTATTTTGACTGGGCAACAATCAGGCAGTGCTGCTGTTCCTTGCCCAGACAAGCAAACCTCTTCAAGCCAGACATCCTGCGTGATTTGTTGCACTGACAAAGCTGAAACTTGTGTCCTGTAATTTTTCATGTTGTCAAAAGTGACTCAGCAACTAGTCCCTTACCCTGATCTCACTCGCTCTGCATATCAGCAAAAAATAAGTATCATCGGGAGAAGAACAAAGAAGATGAATGCAGTTCTTGTTCCAGGGGAGCAAGCACGGGCTCCTTCTGCAGCCTTTTCTCCCTCCGTGGCACACACAGCAAACGGAGCACCACAAAAGCAAAACAACACACCGTGCTGCAGTCCCCTCGAAAAGACTAAGAGGAACCAAACAGATGACTTCTGCTTCTGTCATTTTGCTGTGCTGATTGCTTTTGTTTGTAGCCCCTTAGTGAAATGGTGCAAATTTCATGGTCTGTTCATGTATTTAATTGCAGCAAATGAAAATCGGTATGAAGGAGGTTGGAAAGATGGAAAGAAGCATGGGCCAGGGAAATTCTTCTACTTGGATAAGGGACAGTTGCTTGAAGGTATCTGGGCAGCAGATATACCAAAATGTGGAATTCTGATTGACTTTGGCAGAGATGAAGCTCCTGCCCCTACTCAGTATCCAATCCCAAAGGTAATTGCTTGGACATTTTGGGTTTGCTAGTGCTGTTTGCATTCATCAGCGCTCGGGGCAGCTCTCCAGGTAGCATTTCACTGTTGGAGTGATTACCCCCATGGGGTTCCCAGCTCACGGGGTGTGTGCTCAGTCTCCTGGCCAGCACTGTCCTGAACAGCCCTGTAGGGACAAATGGCCCATCCAGCCGCTGCTGGAGCTTCCTAATCACCTACATCTGAAAAAATGCAGTTCTCATGCACCAGAACTTCTTAGAGACCTGAAGCAGCAGAAAGGAAATGGGGACAATAGAGGCACAGACAATAGTGGGAACTGCTAAGGCTGACTAGATCTTACCAGAACCCCAGCAGCTGCAGTGCTAAAATCAGCTAAATTTCCTTTACCCGGGCACCCGGAGATCAGGGGCTCATCCATGTCCAGCAGGACAGAGGGATGTACGTAGCAGATGGGTGTCCCAGAGCCGACATGCTCTGCTCTCCTTTTCCTGTAAGGTTGACACAGGCTGTGGGGGAAGAGCCAGTCCCTGTCTCCCCGCCACTGACTCGGTGAGATGCACAGGGGGGCACACGGACATGCTGGCTGGCAGCCGCCGGGTCCTTGCACATCACTTTGGCACAGGAGCTGGAGGACGGGAACGCCTGTCTCCTGCCCCATGCCCTCAGAGGACGGGGACCAGATGTGGCTTCAAGTGACACAGCTGGCCAAAAGCCTCAGCTTGAATCCCCACAGTCTGTGTGCTGCACATGCGAAACACAAAGGCATCGCGTTTCCAAGACACCATTACTCTAGCATACGGTGGGGAAGCTCCTCTTTGCTTAGAGCCAAGCAGAACCATGCTGGGTAACCACAGCTCGCTGATTTACCTCAGTGAACAGGGAATAGCATAACCCCAGGGCAGGTAAAGCTTACAACCTTCCTCTTCTGCTCCAGGGACAAGGTTGTTGCAGATGATACTGGGCACACGCAGCCCACCCAACCTCACTCCTGTTACATCTTTGCTTCCCTTACTTTTTCAAGTCTGGTTTCTGTAGCAAGGGCCCTTAGTTCACAGATGTTTCTGACAAACTACTTAATCCTGTACCTTAATCCTGTACCTACTAGGCACACCCATGGCAGTGCAGAATGACAGACAACAAACACTCGCCAGGGAAAAACAATCTTGGTTTTGCAAAAAAGAGTGAAACGTGCAGTACTTCATAGCTAAAAATATTTACCTTACAAGGTTTGTCAAGGTCACCCAAGAGCAGCCCCCTCAACAGCCCAGCCCAACAACTGCAGGTGAATTGCTATTTCACTAGAGGCAGGATGTTCAAGACTGGCTCTTTACTTAACTCCCTGAAGAGTTAATTTTCTTCAGTTCTATGAGCAAAAAGAAAGCATCAACTTTCACTGCCATTATTGTGCTTTCCATTGGAAGAGATTTATTGATCTCAGCATATGAAGGAAGTAACAGATAAAAGGAGAAAAATTGACTTCAGATTTTTATAAACCTTTTCTCAAATTACTGTCACAAGCAGCTGTTAGAGAAAAGTAGATGATGGGTGAGCGTTAGAAACTGCCAAAACCAGAGATGGACTAGTCAGCTTTTGCCTGGCAAGAGGCCAACAGTGAGGATCTAAGCTTCTGCCTGGGAGAAGCATCACTGTGTGTCTTCATCAGCAGGTAAAAAGGAACAAATGGTGGGGATGCACAGGACAGAAAATGGCTGAAAACTAAAGAGTGATTGTCACCAGCTTTGAAGGAATCCAGTATGTAGCTGATGGGGTTGAATCAGGCAGAATTTGAACCCAACTGCACAGAGAGGGGAAAGACACAACATGGTGGACTTGGGATATTTGCTGTTATAATTAATTATTGAAGCCAAGGCTTCAGAAAGCATAACAAAATGAATGAGAGAAAGACCACATCTCTTCTGCCTGGGAGAACCGCTCCTTACATGAACCCCCCACCCAAAAGCATCAGGACAAAAAGCAGGTCAGAGCAAAACAAGCTCCTGGCAGGGCTTTGGCACTTCCCTCTCAAGAATTTGCATCCAGTTGTATGCAGGTTTCAGGACTCCAGATGCTCACTGGGGTTGTAACTGCAGTTATTCACCTTTTACAACTACAGGTGAGACCCAACAGGCTACAAATCGAGGCCAGTTTTGTCTTAGACTGTGTTCTGTTAAAGGAGAATCAGTCCACTCCACACAAAGCGATTTCAAGGAGATGAAGTGATGTTCAACATGCTAATAAACTGAGGAAAGCATAGCAATGTTTCTAAAACAGTAATTGAAAGGCTACAATATAAACTGAAGTCCTGATACATGGGAGATTCTCTGTTAATGCTCGAGTAATCAAGATCTATAAAACCTTAAGCTTCTTCAATTACACTCCCTAACTGATTTGTATTCTTTCTGTTTAGATTGAACTAGCTGATCCAGATGGTGTTTTAGCAGAGGCCCAGGCGATGTTTGATGACAGCCAAAATTAATAACCGGATGCTGAGACAAAAAAAAAGATGTGCGATAAGAACATGATCCTGGGTTACTTATTGAGTCTCAAATCCACACTGTGGTGTATCGTGTTGTGGTCTGCCTCGCTTTTCCCTCAAGGCTGCTCCTATATGCTCCACTCTGCAGGTGGCTTTGCACAGAGGTCTCCTCCCACCCCCCATTATTTTGGAAAAGAAATGAAACAAAGAAGGAAAAAAAAAAAAAAAAAAAAAAAAGAGAGAAAACCCACAAGCAGCAAAACACTGGAAGACAAGCAGAGTGACTCTACCCCACTCCTCTGACTTATTCCTCCTGTAAAGCAATCGTGCTCCTGTTGGTTTCAAGGCCTTTCACACTGCCTTAGAGAAGCAGCAGGGTTTCTATTATGTGCTTCAAAAGCAAAGCTCTAGAAAAGTACAGTCAAATCACTGTCCCCTCCCACCCCACTCCTCAAACTCAGCCTGATACACACCTGTGACCCAAGATGGCTTTGAAGTTATAACTGATCACGTTTCACTATTTTTATTAATGCAACTTGACTTTCTCTCTCTGTACATTTTCCGCAATGTGATGCCAATTCTCCTCCCTGACCAGGGAACGCAGAGCCCACCTTGGCCAGCCCGTGCCCCGGCACTGTGCCGGCTGCTCCGCTCCCGCCTGACACAAGGACGCCGCCACAGCCACGCAGAGCTGCGACACTCCCATCTGCAGGGTGCTGCTGAGCATCGCCCACAAGACCCAAGGAAGGCGGCACCGCAGCCGGCTGGTGAAAAACAAACTGTGGGGCAGCGAGTCATTAGTTCACCTGATTAATATCGTGCCTCCAAGTGTCACCTCTTGCCCACCCCTTGACTCTTCACGTTTTCTAGGCTGAAAGACAACCCACTGTTGTATTTCAGCACTCAGAGAATAACAATACAACATGCTTAATCCCAAGATTTAAGCAGTGCTGACAGGAGGAAAAGCATATCAGCTACGTTATATTCTTTATAACTGTCTGTGTGAACGGAAAATTTTGTCTTCATATTATGACTGAGTAACTGAACACATTCAAGAGATCCTCAGAAATACACAGGATTAGCACAACATAGCTGAAGAGATAAGGGATATAGAGAAAATAAGCCTGTTTTAGGCCTCCAGGTAACAAATAATCAGCAACAAATGAGTATCTTTTATTTCATTAAAGTATTTTATATCTAAATAAGTGATATACAATAACAAATGCTTAAAATGCTTGAGGTAAATGCGTAAATACTATTAGTATAAATAAGGGATAAAAAAAAAATTCTAAGTGAGCTCTTATTGTTTAGATCCATGTGTTTGGGTCTGGTTATTGCCCCTGGCACACAGTTAGGAAACTGAGCCCAAGGTATAACCGTCATGACCATTTCCACAAGTGGAAAATGAGAGAAACATACTCAATATCACGGCTTAAAGTGCAGAAAATAGTCAAAAAAGCAGCTGTAAAACAGAGCCATTAACTCAGAACCTACCAGCTTGAGAAAGTTAAAAATAAGATTGTCCCACTAGCTTCTAATTCTGTATTTCTTAAGCAAAACAAAAAACCCCACACTTCTCTGTCACTTTGTAAAAGATTCACAGAATAAAGAGAAATTCAGCTACTTCTCGAGGACAGAAAGTAATTTTAAAAAATAAACTTGGAAAATATATTTTCTGGACTTCCATTCAAAAGAATGTAACTTTAAAATACACAATTTACGAACAGAGTAATTTTTAAGCCTGACAGCACCCTTTCAACCATTTGCTCTAGCATGAATATTAAGTCAGGTTTTCTTCCTTTACTGAGGGTTTTTAAGAGTCTTTTTTCCCAAGACGGGACTAGTATTCCCGTAAAGGATGGGAAAATACATTTTGTGCCTACTACCAAGATTACGTGTTTTGGAATGCTGCTTCATTAATGCCTTTACCAACACAATCCTTCCAGTGCTCCGTGACTGACCACCTGTGGGACTGGACTGATAATTCTCACCATCAGCAGATTTACATCAGTAATAGAATATATTTGAAGCATAATGTAACGGCAGAGATAGGAAAAATCCAGTTTGGCCTCTCTGTGCCAGAAGGACTTCTGAAAACAGCAAGTACAAAGCTGTTTTCTGCTTGGGAATCAAGAATGCTGCTGAAAAAAATAAGCCCAGCAGTTTTTTTATAGTTATTTTTCAGAATACAAACACACCACGGGTGACCCCATCAGCACTTTCCACCGCGGTGGTGCAGACGTGAGAAGTCAGTCTCATTTGCTTGACGAGGCTGCTTCAGCAGTAAACACTTTGCCACCCTAACTCTGTAGACACATCCTACCATTCGTCAATATGTTGGGATAACCTGAGATGGCGGCTGGGTGTGAGAGACCATGTTCAGCCCAGGCTCAGTTAAGTACAGCTCCACCGTCAAGTTCACTGTTGTCTAATTTTAAAATCACAGGTTTCTATTCCAGTGTTTGCTGTGGTAGGGAGGTCAAGTTTTGTTCCATTAAACTTGATATCTGTTTCAGTCTGTGTTAAAAAAACCCAGCTTTTACCCATTAAAGCCCAAAGCTGCTCCACAGAAGAACTGCATTCCAAAAAATTCCACTTCCAGACACAACTAGAATTACTGAAGCAGCCCAGGACTACTGCTGCAATCCTTCTTGGACAAACCTCTTATTTAAGAGACCAAATGGAAGTTTTTGCTTAAAGAGGAAATAAAAAAAACCTGGCACAGTAGCCTTGCTGTCACAGATGTGTGTCTGAAAGTAAGCAGCAATATTAATTACAAATAACCTACTTTCATAAATAAATCTATATAGAGAAAAGTAGTCTTCTAGATCCTTTGGAAGCAAAAAATATACAACAAGTTATTAAATACAACACTTCAGCAAGGAGAAGACTTTTTCTAAACAAGGAAGACCAAGGCATAGCTAATTACTTGGGAATCCAACGCAGAAAAAGCACCTTTTGCTGCTTATATCTGAGGATTTATTAAAAATACATTTTTTTATATAAAAGTACAAAATAATTACTACTTTGGAAAAAAACACAGCAGTGGTTCTGATTTTCAAGCAAAATAATTATCCAGTGATAATTTTCATCTAGTTCCTTCTTTTCAAAAAAAGATTCCTAAATGGGAAACAGGCAAATCTATCTCTCCAGATAATATGTGCCAGCTTGTGAGAACTTTAAAACAGTTATTGCTTTTATTTTCTTCCATAGAAGAATAGAGTAGAATCTCATTCCTACTCATGTGGCCATACCACATCGCAGTAAGACTAGTCATGGGTGTTTAGCAAGTTATAAAATGTGTAACTGCCACGGGGAAAAGGCGCTGGAGAAATCAGTGAAGTAATAATTACTTGGCAGCAAAACATATTGGGGAAAGTGGTGGGAAAGCTTTCACTTCTACCATCTGTCAGGCTTTCTAGAGAGAACAGCGCTAGCACTGAAACCAAGTGCTAATTGCTGCATATCCCAAGTAATTTGTATCATGCCATGCAATATGGATCAGACAAGCAGTATCTTCTAGTAAATGCCAACATCAGATAAAGAGAGGGAAAAAAGGCTTCTCTACCCATCCCTAACAAATACCCAAATTTACAGTGTTATTTTCCCTGTATTTATACAGTCACCATTCAGCATCAACAAGAAGCAGTCTAGACAGCGCTCACAAGAGGAGGGATGCACGTGCTGTGCAAGAACACCCCACCATCCATTCCTTCAAATGTCAGATAGCCAACATTTAATGGAAGGAACCTTTTTTTTTTTTCTCTCTAAAAGGTTAGAACAACATTTATAATCTCTCTTTAAACAGTAATCAACAGTTTGACCAGTTCATCCACAGGGTAGTCAACATAACAAGGCAGAAGCAGAATAGTGGGTTTATTTTCTTTAAGTAAGGGTTTATGCAAAATGAGTAACAGCTGAGGAGATAGCATCACCTCTGTGATCCAGCTGATCCTGGAGCCGTGCAAATTCAGCAAGTTCATTCAGTTCTTGAAACTGCCTGTCTGTTTTATGGCTCACCAGTGACCTGTAGAAGTGGACTGCAAACACAATGAAAATCAATCCAAAGGGAACCATAATAGACGTTGATGCAATGGCTGCTGCCTGTCCTGATGTGATGGTAGAACTGTTGCTCTGGAGTGGGTTATCAGTTTTCTTCTTTAAAGGAAGAAACTTCACCCAACACAGTAGCACCACCTCTGCAAGAAAGAGCAAAGTCCCAATGACAGTAGAAAATGCCCACGCAAGCTCAATGTGCCGATGCATACGCTCATGAGGAGATTCCTTTACAGAGTTGAGATTATGCACGTTGCTAACCGCCTCTATATTTGGAAGAATGCAGGTACTTATCATGAGTGCAAAAAGGTGAACTGCAACAAGGACAGTAGTACAGGCACTGAAGGCTATCAGGAGACCTTGAGGGTAGTCGTGTTCTGCATCCAGCTGAACTTCTACCATAGCGACCTGAAAAGGAAAGAGAAATGCAATTACCTATGTTATATATATCATTTGACTATAGATTATGTAAGGTTTAAATCATGTGTCTGGAAGATCATCTGATCCAGACAAAGTAATAGTCTGCATTTAAATTTCTCTTCATGTAAATCTGCACCTTTTTCATTAGGTCCACATTTAGGTCTTAGCAAAGGCCACCATTTTCATATTTACTGTTCTGTTGTAGAGCAAACCATCGGTATGCGTGAAAGTTCTTAACAGCACAACCACCTCCAGCTCATCCCAGCGAGACAACTGAACTTTGTCATCAACATACCTGGACTCCTTAAAATGAAACATTTCTTCTCTCCTATGTTATACCATAGAGGCAGCTTTTGATCTTTTACTATAAATTTTGCTGGGTATTAGGAATTGTGTCCCATACATATGTAGAATGATTACCATATGAAGTCTGTTGAAGTAGGTATCTGTAACATTAAAGTCCGTGATGTCAGCGGACTGTCTGTCACAATCTTGGTGGTCCTTTCACCTTGGATATTGGTTTTTAACTTTTGAAGAGCAGGAGCCTTTCATTAGAAAGATCACCTTTCCATGGGGCTCTCAACTATATTCTTTCATTCCAGATCAGTATTTCAGCAGACTCTAGAACACAGACCCAGAACATGAAAGTCTCCACAATATCCAGGGCAGCCAAAGAGGTTTGTTAGAGGCTGGGGGAAAGACAAACAGTCATCTCCCAGAAAAGATAATGTAGAGAGCTCCAAGACATCACTAGCTACTCTTACTCTGGAAGTTGTGTCTAGCCTCATCTCCGGGTGAGCGCTGCTATCTCATGAAGATGCTCCAAGGTCCAGTCCTCCACTGCTATATGCAGCTTTTCCCTTTTATAAGCTTAAGTTGTCAAGCATGACTGTGCTTAAGCAGCAGAAATTAGCATTAAATAACAGCACGAGGAAACTCAAACCCAGCTCAAATACTTTTGATAAAGAAAATTAACCAGCATGCCTTTTAACAGTGTTTAAAATTGTCATGTGGTTTTATGCATGTGCAATTGATGAGTGACATTAATCCCAGCAGTTCTCCTGGAAAAATAATCTTTCCTCATAAATTTGCCTTTCAAACAAAGCACAGTTCCAAAGAAAGGATAATGCAACAACGTCTCTAGTTTAGTGCTCTTTCTCAAAGGATCTCATTAAATTGGCAAAATACATTTAAAATGCAGAGAGAAAAAAATTAACAGCAATCTTAAATAAACACACATATACAAGATGTAAGGAAGATGCAGAGGCTGCCATTCAGCACAGTTCAGCCTGATCCACACACCAGTCCTTTCCGCACCTTGGCTGCCCACTCTTGTTCCTTCATTGAAATGACTCAACTTGCTAACCCTGCGAAAGCTAACCTGGATAAGAAGTGGTCATCTGCTCGCTTACTGAGCTGGGCTGTTTCTGCAATGCCTCTGATGAACAATGGAGCTGGCAGAGGCTGTACTAGGACCTCAAGACTCTTGGCAGCACTAAGCTATGAGCCTGCTCTTCTGTAACGTACCAGTTTGCCCTCAAAAAGACCATGAAACCAGTTCACACAACACAGTGCCTGAAACAAATCAGCTCTTTTGAGTCCCATCAGTACAGATTTAAGCCCATTGCCACATGCCTTTATTAATGGTTTGGACAGTACTCGGCCTATAGCATGCATTTCAAACACCTCAATTCTCATTGAGCTGATATGAACAAAATTTCATAAAGTATGGATGCAGGGAGACATAGGGTTTTGCTCAGGCATGTTTCAACAGGCATTCAAGGCCATTTGCCAGTATTTTAATTCCTTTATTTAAAGCTTTCATCGTCATAAGCCGAACCACCCAGCCAACTAGCAAACAGTTTCCAAGTGTTACAAGAAACTCAAGAAGAAATTATATTAGTGCATATACAGTTCTTGCTCAAAGATTTAAAAATACCATTTCTCAACTGTGGGAAACTTAATATTTGAGAGCGTAAACATTTGGTTGTCGGGTCTCCCTTCTGCAGGATTGTTAAGTCTCAATGCACTCGTGGGATGTTGGGCTTCCTGTGTTTTTCACAGAACAATTGCAATCTTTCACCACTGAGGATTAATTTTTGTACTTAAAGTTTTTTTCTTATAAATTTTCTGGTGCGTGTCTAGACTCAAAACCATCCAGCATGGCAAGACATTTTGATCCTTTATCCTGGTACTTATTATTTTAACACAACCATGACACTAAAGAGTTTCATAAGATGAAGACTTTATTTTCTTTTTCTTTTAAGAACTGATGTATTCAATTCACCAAATATTGAAGACATTCTCCATTTCCATTAATCAATGTCTCCATGTAATAATGGTATCAAGCACCTGATTCTGAACTTCAGTCAGTCTTAATTCCAACACACCAGCTGTGCTGGAGCTACTGTTCTCTTCCCATTTCAACAGAATATCAAGAATAAATATTTTCTTCCTCTTCTTAGCCTAGCCTGAGCTAAAAAGAAATGCTAAATAATTACATTCATTTTAAAGGTACCCATTTCTGATTTGGCTATAATTATATGCATGATCAAAACAAAATCTTGCAGGAAACCAGCTTAATTTAAATAGCATTCAGACACTCAGATAGCTGTGTGCCTAGACAACCACTGACAGAATCATAGAGACAGCTAGCTTTTAAAAGAAGATGTCCCAAACAGGAATCGAAGTTTTCCTGGGTTAAAAAGACTTCATTTTAATACTGCTGGGCGCTTCCTTACAAGAGTAAGTGTACGAGTACTCACAACTGTTATACACCAATGGTATAGCTTAAACCGGAGTTTGGGCTACACAAGCAAGGTTTCAGTTTATATGGCTGACAAATACATCAACACTGACCTGCTTTATACAAGAAGCTTGTTGTGTATGTAGATCCCAAATCAGCTCTCAGAAGTACTTTTCTGAAATCCAGCAAGACTGTAGTTGTTTACTTAAGACTTGTCACAATTTATACCATGAGCAGGAAGGGTGTAACTTCCTTCAGCCCAAACCATACCACGCAATTACTTACTGTAATTCCAAGTGTACTCTCTCCATAAGAATAATTATGAGTAGTATCAACATCATTTGAAAGACAGCTTAAGTACTAGTCTTCTAACATGCTGCCAGCTTATTTTGCACCAAGTAGCCACCACCACACACACTGCCGACTATTCCCACATTGGGATGCCAACGAGGTGTGAGTCAGGCAGAAGCAAGGCAGTCGGCCATCCCAGCCTTGAAGCCTCACATACACCTTCACACGGCTGAAGGCTGCAGGAGGGAGGTCACGTACTGCAAAGCACTGAGGGGAGGGCAAGCTCCCAAGGGAGGCTCCTGGAAAAAAACGGGGCATCCCATGGGGGAGGCATGCCTGGGCCAGTTTCAGCATCTTCTCCCAACTCAGTCCCTCCCATAGTAGTTTCCATGCACAGCCCTGATACGCTAAACGGGAGCCTGGCATTAGAAATGACACTTGAAGTTGTTTAAGTCGTACATGGCTATCCTGCCAGCAAGCAATATGACCTCCTTTCCATGGCTGGAACCAACAGGAAGAGTACTAGCTGCAGCAACTGCTGGGCCAGGGAAGATCTCACATCAAAGCGAATAACAGAAATGCTAAAAGGGACACAATAGCCTTCTGCTTTGAGGGAAAGCATTGCTATTTACCCACTTGGGAGACTCCAGCACCCAGAAAAATACTTCTACTGACACTGAAGGGATCACAGCTTTATGGGCTCAGCCCTCCAAAGGACGAGTTTAAGAGATACTCACTTTGAACATGAAGGGTATACTTAAGAGACATACACATTGGGTGCAGTGAAAAAATGTGATAGAAGCTAAAGGGTATGTGCATAAGAAACAAAAGACACAAGAGCTTTTTATGGGTTCACAGACAGCACAGGAGAAAATTATGCTGAAGCTAACTAGCTGGACAGAGACACCCATAAACAAAGAGAAAATGTTCTAAGTAGTAGCTGTAACTGACTGTGGTGTTAGAGACACCCTAAAAACAGGAGTGGGGGAAGCAAGAAAACATCTTTCCAATTCATTCAGGATGAACTAGATATTTCAGAACTCACTTCAAATGGAGACTTCTGGGGAGCCTGTAGGATGCAGAATGCCTGAGGGATTTCGACGTTTACTAAAGTTGATGGAAAGTCTCCAGGAGGGGCCCAGCAAAGCCTCCTTGTGTTCATGCCTGGCAGAGTAACTCCAGCTTGACCCAGAAGCGAAAAATCAGTTCATGTTTTCTGTCTCCTCAAACTGTCAAGGAAGCTAATTTGAGAACCTTTTCACTATAAACTAGCAAGACTGCCAGCTCTTTTCAATTGTAAGCCTCTGTTCTTTACTTCCTGGGCCAAGATTGAGCCAGGCACCTAAAACAAAAAGCTCCGTTTTTCATTATGAGGCCCCGTGCCTGCTTTCAAACAGTGATGCAAAGCATCAGAAGTTCTTCCCTCCTTCGCTCATGCTGCGATTTCAAAATGCACAGATCTCAGCTGCTCTTGTAAGGTAACACTTGCAAAACCAGGGCCCCAGTGAGCTCATCTGGTATGATCCAAATCCATGCGAAGCCTAAACTCACAGGTACATGCTGATGTTCCACACAGGAGGATGTTTTCCTGTGTTCTCTGTTAGGTTCCTACGCTGGTTCGGAAGACAGGCCCCTCGGGGCATGAACTGTTACTGACGGCTGCACAGTAGCCAATACAACGTGTTTCAGCACCTTCTCCTTCCCCACTTTCAAACCTTTGAACACTTTCTGTGTGATTTCTACTGTGCAGCTACCATGCTGCAAGCATCCTGCCTCGCTGCAGAACCACAGAATAACGACAGCTGGAAGACACCTCAAGAGGTCATCTGGTCTAATCCCTGGCTCAAAGAAGAGCTAACTTTAACTTCAGATCATCCTGCAGGTATGACTGACGTATTTACCACAGCTCTTGACAAAGCTGTAAATCTGAAATACAGCTTCTTGTCAAAAT